TATCTCCCAGGCCTTGCTGCCACAGGTTGCCTGTCGGGACCTCGGGCTGTCTAGTCAGACGCACTGACTTGGTTAACTGTCTGCCACGGCTAAAAATAAGCCAGGGTGAGCGCTTTTTCCAAGACTAGCTTTCCTTTCAAAACCTGCATTTTCCCATCGTGCCTTCCGTGATCGCAAGTAGAAACGCAAACACGCTTTCATCCTTTTTTTGTGTATATTGTATGCTACGGAATTGACTACTTAATCAAAAGTTAGAGATGATGGACGAGATGAAAATGGAACCTTTTATTTCTCCTCATCACCTCGTGATGGGAAAATAATGAAGCTGTGACCTTGTGTGGCACTTTCCAGAGAAGGAGATCTCAGGGCTGTTTCCCTGGGCACACTCTGTTCTTTCTCTGTCTTTCACTCTGGGCGACTTCCAACCCTCCTCTATAATCACTCACCCACTTCCAGGTGCTCCAGCCTCAGAGAGTGAGAGGCCCAGAGTCAGGGCTCTAGTCAGCGGCAACTATAAATACTCCAAAAGCAATGGCTCTCAAGAGTTTTGGTCGGTGACATTATCAACCCAAGTTTATAAGGAGGACGGGGGGAGGGTAGATGTGCTTTAAATATTTTTAAAGTTCTTACCTCGTCCTTGTTGACCAGTCCCATCTTGGACATGTCTATGTTGAAGTAGTGGATGTTTGGCAGGCTGATTTCCATGTCTTCTATCTGGAATCCACCATAGTATATATCACCTTGGGCAACCATGGATCCATCTATCCATCCACCACTCACCCCCTCCCCAACCTACCCACTAGTCCGTTACTCAGGTTCCCCCTCTATCTCTGAAACAACCTTTGATGGTCCCCTACTGCCCAACACTGTTCTCCTATCCTGGTCCTATTATTAGACGGTGGGCCCACTCCTCTCCATGTACAAAACCTGCTTCTCAGAAAAGCAAGAGCTTCTTGGATCAGAAACCTGGGAGACTGCCTGGCCGGTGTGGCTCAGGGGTTGAGCGTCAACCTATAACCTCAATTCCCAGTCAGGGCACATGCTGGGGTTGTGCTTCGATCCCCAGTAGGGGACGTGCAGGAGGCAGCCAATTAATGATTCTCTCTCTTCATTGATGTTTCTATCTCTCTGTCCTTCTCCCTTCCCCCACCCCCCCGAAATCATTAAAAAAAATTTTTTTTAAAGAAAGAAACCTGGGAGACCTCTTCAGCATCTAACTGGTCTCCTGGGCCTGGCCAGTCAAGCTCCTAATTCCCTCCTCATTCCACTCCTAATGCTCCAGGCCTTTCCCTAACGTGTGTGGGCCCTGAGGTAAGGGTATAATTGGAGGCCCACATACCAGATGTCTAAAGATTTAGAAGTTATAAATCAAGCTAAAAAAAACTTTTCTGTAAAATATGTTGTATCTTTCTAATTTGACAAATATACCTTCATCGCAACCTGGAAGGCCAGGATCAGATTTAAAGTTCTCTGACTCCTCCCAGAGCCATGCCAGGACATAGCAGCATGTGAAGAGTCAGTCCCCAGCCCTGGCCCATCCCATCTTCTTTCTTATGTCAGGTGGGTTGACATCCCAGCTTACATATCAAGTCCCATTCATACCTCCTGAAAACATCTGACTTTTGCCCACTCTCAGGCCTAAGGGTACACACACCAATGGCATGATCTGCCCTCCAGAGGATGGATCTAGGGAAGAGACTGCTCAGGCTCTGGAATTAGTCTCAGGTTATTTGGGCAGGAAATTCTGGGCTACAGTTATCCAGAGAATGGGGGGATGCACGGGCTCCTGCCTTGGTCTTACTGACTTTTCATCCAGCGGAGAGAAGCTCAGCCAGAAGAAGGCCTGAAGAGAGCCTCCAGGGTGCTGGGCCATGGCAGGAGCCCCTCTGCCTAGGTCCAAGGGTAGTACTCTTCCTGTCTAGCCCCTCATGGCCACAGTTCAGGCCCATTTTTTAGATTTCTGCCACAGCCTCTCAACAGTTCTTGTCTGAAGTCTGTCATCCTTTTAATTTATTACCCTTCTTTCAGAGTGATCTTTCTCAAGTGCAAATATGGTGGCATCAGACCCTGCTTAAACCCCTGGGTGGCTCCTGAGAGCTTTCAGGATACAGTACAGACTGTCACTAAGACCACAGAGGCCCTCCTGATCTAGCTCCTGCCTCACCTCTAGGCACATGGAAAGACTTTCACTCTCGGAGCTTCACATGCGGCAGACCCTCGGCAGTAGATGACTGTTCCACGCTGCCTCCTGTCTCCATACGACTCTGCTCCCTCACTTCTGAGTGTGAACCCAGAGAACCCCCACTTGTTCCTTAAGACTCAACTCAAACACCTCTCCCTCCAGAAAGCCTGGATGGTCCTATCCCCTGTACCTGAGTTAGGTGCCTTCCTCTGTATTTCAATAATAATTTATTCTTTATTGCATATAGTTTACTGATATGATTCTTTCACTGGATGATGTTATCTTCGAGGGTAGGGACCATGTCTAATGTATCTTTCTATTCCTCATGCTTTGACAGAGGCATAATAACCATTCAATAATATCAAATGGATGGCTGGCTGGCTGGCTGGATGGATGGATAGATAAAATCACTCCGCATCTATCCTTCATTTTCTGGATCTCCTAAAACTTAAATATGGCAAGATGAAAAGACTCAAAGAATTTTCAGCAAAGCTAAAGAACTATAGCACTGGCCTGTGTTTTCAGGTTGGACAGATTTGTTCCATTTTTTACTCTCTCCTCACTTGCTATAACAAGCTTTTGAACAACAACAGATGTCATTTTTCATGTGTCTCCCACTTTCTTATTTTAACTCTCAACTCTTTCTCAGAGTTGACAACAAGTTCTCTCCGTCCTCAGAATGGCAAGTGATAAAACATACCTCAGGAACCCGGCTCAGGGAGAGCGCCTGGATGTCATAGAGGGTCTTCTGGACCGAGGGTGAGTACTCGCCTTTGTCATGGGGTCCAGCAAATTTCTCCAGGACAATGTCCCGAACGGTGTCCCTAGAACACAGAAAAGAGAACTGATGACTCATAGGGTGGTCTTTAGGAATGCGTTATAAAGCTGAGAAGCAGTGACCTTCCTGTCCCTCAGAAAGCAATTTTATTGTTGATTTTAGAAGAGATTAATATCTTGTAATATTAAAAAAAACCTCACTTGCTATGTCCTTACACACACACACACACACACACACACACACACACACCACTCAACAAACATATTGGGTGTCACTGGGCTATTTTCCTAACCTGGCACCAGGGCCCAGTGGGAATTCCAGGATAAATCTTCTGTGCTTGAAGAAGCCATGAAGGGGACTCCCAAGCACTCCAGCATTCTTACTCTCAGCATGGCTGATTCCTTGAATTGTTGTTTTAGGGTGTTTTTTTGTTTTTTGTTTTTCTCTGCACTAAATATTTTATTTTATTATTTTATTGAATTCTCTTAATATACCTGAGGCAGGTGCTGTTATTATCCCCAATTTATAGGGGAGGAATCTGAGCTTAAAAATTAAATAATCCACTTGCAGTCCTTCTCTTTAGTGGGAGGCCCAACTAGCACCCTAACTCTGGCATGCTCAATTTTGTACTCTTTTCAACAAAAATATATCAGGCTGCTGCCCATGGGAAACGCTTGAAATAAAAAAGGAAACACAGATTGAGGTGAGTTTCTCTTTAAGCATTTCCCAGCCTGTCACATCATCAAAGGAGCAGAGCTAAGCGTTACCAGTGGGAGCAAGCTACCGGGGGCAGATTCCAGCTCATCATAGCTTAGAAGTTTTGAACAATTAGAGCTTCAGCAAAGAAATGAGATGCCTGGTCAAAAAGTAAACTCTGGGGGTACAGAGGCTTAATTATAGCTTGTAAAGATATTATTATTTAATCATACCTTTATATTGTTAAGGCATTTATCATTTATAAAGTGCTTCAGTGAATGTTATCTCATTTTGAGTGTAGCTTAGAGTGACCAACTGTCACAGTTTGCTGGGGACCAAGAGGTTTCCTGGGACGTGAGACTTTCAGTTTGAAAATTAGAAAAATCCTTGATGCAGAAAGTTTAGCCCTTTCTGCATCTACGATGAAGTAGTAAAGCCAAATATCATTATCCTCACTTGATACCGAGGTTCTTAACATGGGGCCCTGGTCCAGCAGTATCAGCATCACCTGGGAGTTTGTTAGAAATGCAAGTTATCAGGCTTCACTTCAGACCTGCAGTCAGAACCTTTGGGGGGTGAGCCCAGTGACATACATCCTAACAAGCCTTCCCTGTGATTCTGTGAACACAATAATATTTTAGAACTACCGATTTCATCAATGAAAAGCAGATGGTCATGGAAATTAGGTGGTCCATTCAAGGTCATTATGGCTAATAGAATCTGAGATTCAAGTGCAGATTTATCAACTCAAAGTAAGACCATTGGCTTTCTGTTGTCCAACAAAAAGGATTTTGAACAGTGAGGAAGTTGAATTGAGTGGCCTCCAAGGTTCCCTTTAAATTGAAGACTTCATGAACTCCAGGCCCCAAGGACAAGGGCAGACACTACCTGTGCCAGCGCTAGGCCCTAGCACATGCTCATACCAGGTAGCCTCAAAGTCCACGTCACTGCCCCGGTAGCGCCACTTGCAGTACACTTGGGTGGCAAAGCACCGGTCCTTCACCTCAGGGAGGGTGGTGAACTGGTCCTTGATAAATCCTTCAAATCCAGACTGGGTCGTTTTCAAGACCTTGAGATCTTTGATTCCTGAATGAATGACTGGAGGTCCTGTTTTAAGTAAAAAGATAAGAGGGGATCAGTGCCTTCTTACTGATCCCTAGCCCTGAGGATTCTGGTCATTAAAACATGGCACACTATGCTTATACCGAGAACTACATCACTGCCCATGTTTTCTGTCTCCCTGACTCCTCTGAAGTCCAAATGATGAGGATGGTATGTCTTTCCCTCCATCTGGATTCCACGACTCACTGCCCTCTCCTGCCCTTGGAGAACTGAAGGTTAGAGACTAAACCTCCATGTTGTGTTGAAGCCCACAGAAATGAATACCTTCCTCTCAGCTACAAGTAGGGTTGTTTTCTAGTCCAAATACCTTCTATTTTTTTCAGCTGCATCTCTTTCAACAGAAAATCATGCTGAAATGACTTAATAAGCAGTTCTGTCTGCTGCTAGGACTCTCTGTTTGGGGGTAGTCCTCATGTGGATTGTCTATACTGACTTATGGCGCCAGTCACCACCAGATCCTCAGTTCCCTTGTGGTTATGAAGTCAGCAAAGCCAGACAACTTCATGAAGGGACCACAGTGTAAGCCTGACTGAGCCTAAATAGAGACGGGGAAGATGAGGCTGATGACATGCAAGGCATAGGTCTGCCTAAGTTTTTTGACTGAAGGAGAAAGGACAAAGTTGGTTCCTGAGGACCTGGGGGACAGAGTGCAGAGCTGAAAACAGTGGAGGGGATGATGTGGCTCTCCCCACAGCCCCTGATGTCACCTTGTGAGGCGAATCGGGGAGGTGGAGGGGTGAGAGGCATAATCTGAATAAGCTGTTTGCTTGTGTGCCAGGCAGTTTTAGCTCAGGGTCCAGTTGACAGGTGGAGCACAGAGTTAGTGAGGGAAGAATTATCTTTTTCTTTTTCTAAATGGAACACACTGTAGCTCCAACAGTTTGGTGAAGCCTAAAGAGACCACGGCTTCAGGTGACACACTGAGAAGCCCCAAGGCACAATGCTCTGTGAAGAACATCATTCTTCCCAAGGAGCAGTGATAACTGGCACAGCAAATGCTGAGCAGAGCCAGCGAGGCAGAAGCGGTATCCAATGGTGCCAACTTCTCCCTGAGCACATGAGACAGCCCCTCAGGCTGCCAGAAGGTGGGAGAGTTTAGCTGGAGAGGCCCAGAAGTTTTGTAATGAGAGAGTTACAAGGCCAGAAAATTTCAGGAATTAACATCACTATAGTCTGCTTTGTGTGCAGTCTGGTGAGGCTGGACATTCAGGGGACACTTGGGTACACATCCCCGCTAGCACAGTGCCATGGCAGGATGACAAAGGTCACCTCTATTCAGTCTTAAAGTTATTCCTGATTAATATCTAACCTTCCTGGTCTGCTTAGTAAATAAATCAAGGGCTGGAGGTGTCAGGCATCACTATGTTCTACATGGTCTTAGGTGAAGAATAAGAATGTAACTCATGATCCTCAATTACGATCCAGGGCAGCTTTAATAATCCAATGGTTTACATCGTTTGTGTGGTGTCAACGCCTTAGTTAATTCAGGAGCTGTGGAGTTTCAGAAGTAGATGAATAATGACTATATTTTGATATTTTCCTGGCCACAAGTGTGCATCTACTAGAGAGAGCAATGGCCAGGGGTTAGTGGTAGATCTGCTGATGAAACATGTACTGATTAAATAAGGTGTTCCAACCAGAGTGTTCCAAGATAATGTGGTAAAACTGAAAATTATATTTATTGAACACTAGTGCCCCGGTGCACGGACTTGTGCACATTGAAAGGAAATTAATTAGAAGGTGGCCGGCAGGGCAGGACTGGGTGGGGTGGGACTGGACCTCCCATGATCCCTCCCTGGCTGGCCACACCTGTGGTGGAGCTGCAGCTCGAAGGGCGTCTGCGGAGTGAGCAGTGTCCCTCCGGCAGGTGGGGTCCCCCAGCCTGGTCTGCAGGGATAGAGCCAAAACTGGCCCTCTGACATCCCCTGAGGGGTCCTGGATTGAGAGAGGGCTCCCTTTTCTCTGGTTCTGGGGTGCATCACCCGAGAACTACTGCTACCAAGTTGCCACAGCTTGGCAGATCTTGTGTTGAGCGTCTGCCCTCTGGTGGTCAGTACGCATCATAGATACTGGTTGGAGCATCTGTCCCCTGGTGGTCATTGCGTGTCATAGCTACTGGTCGGACGGTCACTTAGCCTTTAATATATATAGATTCTGAAGTTCTCATTGAAAGTTATATCTGCAGAAGAATCAAGAGAAGGACACCAGCAATGCCTTAATGCTATTAGGTTGTCCAGGTTTATCGGATTCTAGATGAAGACATGGTTCTGAAAAATCAGCATTTCTAAATGCAATGTGGAGCTGATCCAAGTGAGTCTAAGTCCCAAATCTGAGAGAAGTGTAGGAGTAATCAATAAGCATCTGTTGAATGAGTGAATGCATGAGTGCAACATGTCTGATTCACATCAAGAAATGAGTATCTCACAACTTAGTCTCTTTTTCTCTAGACAGTTCTCTTCCATTGGTCTTTACCGTTTCCCTTCCTGATCACCCCACCCACAACTCTAATACAGAGTGTGGCAGGGAGAGGGGGTGAGGGCATCAATATCCTCTAAGAATGTCTTGACTATCAGCATGAGTTTAGTTGTTATCTTTTTCACTCTTTACCTTACTGAATTCTCACATCTCTGTTACATAAGTAATTTTACCCAGGGGACTTCTAATCATTTGCCCATAGTGACCTGGCTAGGAACTGGCAGAAGTGGAGTTTGAAATCAATACCCCATTTTGAGATTCCATACATCTCTTCCTCCTTTTTGGATTATTCTTGTCTACACAAAGTTTTCTCCTTCCTTTAACTCTCCCCATTTCTTTACAATAAGAGGTCTTTCCAGGAGATAAAGGGGTTGCCACTTCCCATTCCATAGTGTACTTTGGAGGCCTCTAATACAGCCCCGACTGAAAAAATACCATCTCCATTGTTCTGAAATGGAATGTGAAACATCATTTTTAGAGTGGCCCCTATGTGTCTTGAAAACTTTTTATTCCTTAAAAATGTCTTATTGAAATACAAAGACCCCTTAAGGGACTGACTCTTTAAACCTTTATAAATTAATACTATAATCTATTTCCAATAGTAATTCCCTTCTAAAAAATATCCTATAGAAATGAAAGTGGGTTTGCAATCAGAAGTAGTGTTAAAAAAAGTAGTGGGAACACTTGAAGGGAGATAAAGAGAAGGTGAAGGAGAAGCAAAGGCAAACTTTATCTATTTTATCTTTTCCTAAACAGCTGGCCTTGATTGCCAGCATCCATGTAATTAAAAAAAACTTTGGCTCCTCCAATGGTCTTAATTATAAGAGGATGCCTGGGTACTGTTGCATAATGGTTGAGACCACAGCCTTGGGCCTCAGAATCTCTAAATTCAAATCTAAGCGCTCTCTGTGCCTCTCCTCCCCAATTTATGAGCACTGTTCCCCTGAGAAAGTTACTTAAACTCTTTCTACCTTGATTTTCTCATCTGTCAAATGGAGATGGTAACCATACTTATTTCCTAGTTGACAGATGTCTAAGAAAAACTTGTAAAGAAAAATGGCTGCCCCATAGAAATGCTCTATAAAGGTTTTTATGATGATTTTGCCAGAACTGACTTCTTCTTAAAACTTCTACCACCTGTAAATATTCCCCAGGTTTCACAAAGGCTCATTGGGTTCTGAAAACTATTTCTGATGTGCCATCACTATCCACATCCGGCCAGGGACGAGATGTATTCATCTTCCAGGAGTGTCACTCCTGCTAGGCAACTTTGAAATGATCTCCTTTCTTGCTAGAATAAGAAAATGGAGAAAGCAGTTGCATTTTCTAATTTGTTTTGGCCTCGGTTTCACACAGAATAAAATGTCTCATGTTCCCAAGGACAGTTAACTATTTGCTACAGTTTTGGCAGAACACAAACCATCTACTCGGGTGCACTCATCATTCTATGAACAAAAACAACAACAGAAAACCTATACTCTTTGAATGTGAATTTTTTCCCTTGGCAGACATTAGACTCTGGATGAAATCAGAGAGCTTATTGTATCTCCTCTGTTGGCAGTGCCCCAGCTTCCTAAACACTGGTAAGCACTTGAGCCTTTCAAATTCATAGACCCATCAACTAAAAATGTGATGCCTCACACACTTTAAAGAAGATTCCAATTTAGACTAACAAGAAGGAATTCAACCCCAAAGACTGTCCTATTCTAGGTTACTTCCCATTAAACCACTTAATCAGCTTTTTAAAATTTTTTGCTTTTTTTATTTTTTACTTTTTGTCTGTCTGCCATGGTTATGGAGTAATGCACAAGGAAGATTTTCACATTTCACTTTGCTAGAATATAATCTTCTCCAGCTTTTAGTGTCCTCCTACACACTTAACAGATTGTGGTGTATCTCTCAGAGAAGCATACATCCTCCCCTTTTAGTTCTCCAAGGGAAAGACACTCACTGGGAATTAATAGAAAAGTCCAATTCCTTACCTACGCATCAGGTGTCACAAAGCACAAAGCTTTACTGAGCCAAGAAAAAAATCCTGTCATGAAGAGGATAATTGCTTCCACATTTAACACCTCCAAAAAGGACACAAATAGCTAAAAGCAGAATATTTTAAAACTATATGAAATCATTCTAGTAGAAAACCTCAAACTTATAAAGTGCTAGAAAAAATGAAGATCAATTAAATGTCATTTGCTTTGAGAGTCCATTTAGCGCATGCAGGGAGAGCGAAAGCTCCCTCTGTGCACTCCTGGGTGGGGAGAGCTGACATCACCCAGAGGAAGGAAGTTAACTGGGCTTTTGTACCACTAGGTGATAATCAAGATGATTTTAAAAGACCTGGGGTTTGCCAAGAACTCTTCTTTTGGATGAACTGGAGAGCACTTTAGTCTTGATATCTAAAGGACATACCCAGCCTTCTTGGCAGTGGCCATCTCTGGCCTGAGTCTCCCACTTGTCCCATCTCACGTCTATGGTCTGCTCAGCTTGACATCTCTTAAATCTATTCTCCTCCAGGACTTCCCTGTCATCATCCCTTCCTTAAAACCATCTTCCTACTCCCACTCGTTTCCATGTTAATAGACTATTTTTCACAGCCAGTTGAGATCTCATCTGCATCTTCCATTCCTCTATTTAGCCATGAATTTTTATAATTAGTGTCAGATTGGGAGAAATTTGATGAGTTATGATTCAAATAGTGCAGAGGTTTGGGGCCCAATAGAGTTTAAATTAGTAACTCAACCATCCTAGTGACTTCAAGGCATGGCTAAGCTTGGAGCTCACAGAGACACATGAAAGAAAGAGTTTGGAAGATCCAGGTTCCATATAACACCTAAACCAACAGTCTGCACCCCACATACAGGGTCCAGCCCTCCTCTCAGAGCTGGGGAAGTCACAAACATAACAGTCCTCGTTCCTTTGGGTGAACAAATTTCTTTCACTCTTCCAGATTCTCCCATGGAACTAGCAGACTTTGAGACAGCCTAAAGTACACTAACTGATGCAATGGGAGTTTGACAGCAATTCTCAGGGCCCAAAACAGTGCTTGAGAGTCAGTAGGCTTTCTATAAATGTTTGCTCAATTGATAAGAATGAATCCAGTCCACTAAGAGAAACCCAGTTACATATTCTGCTGGGAAAAGTCCCTTTTGGGAGTTGCATGGCTGAATATGTGATTAAGTGCATGTGTTTGAGGGGGCAGAATTCTCACCAACCTAGCCAGCCCCCCACCAAAAGCCCTACTTAGGGGTTTATAACAACAGCCTTCACTCTGGATTGGTGTGTGTGTGTGTGTGTGTGTGTGTGTGTGTGTGTGTGTGTGTGTGTAAAATGATTATTTTCTTCAGTTAAGCCTACACAAGGGCATTTCTTATGACAATAATTGTATATTGGCTCAACTCACAGTTTCAACTCTTAGATAATAAACAAATGAAGAATTAAAATCTGCAGCCCAAAGAGCACCAGATCCTTACTCTCCAAAGAGGTACAAAGTACAAATGTCATCTTCATACACACAACACTGGAAGATATGTGTGTGCACTCACATATGTGTGCACATACATACTGCCTACTCTTGAGGCAACTGATGCTTCTTGCCCTCCCCTGATCCCTCCAGCCCCAGGGCATATTGGAGAGGCACTGGATTCCAGATGAGTCAAGCTGAGCTTCTGGGAACACTGCCACAGTGATCGTAATACCCTGTAGCTCTTTAACTTTCTGCAGAAAGAAAAAGCTCTGGCCTAATTATGGTGACTAGTTTTTCCACCTTACAGCAGCCGGGTGACTACAATTCAGGCTGATGATAACTCCTAGAAATTCCTAGAAAGAACAAGGGTGTGAAGAGCAGCCGGTTTCTTATTATGATCAGAAGAACCTTATATTTGACCACCCCACTTCCAACTCCAGGGCTCTGCTAACATATTCTTTATAGAAGTCATCACTGTTCTATTTGCCAAACTGCACAGTTCCTCTTCAGTCTTCTTTTCACCTTCCAGTGGCAGAGACGGCTAGCTGTTCACTAAATCTACTTCCTCTTCCTCCTGGGTACCTGGCTAGACTACTTTTCCCAGCCTCCCTTTGCAGTTAGGTGAGGCTGTGTGATTGGCTGCTCTCAAGTAGAAGTGCTATGTGCTACTTTCAGGCCTGGGGTTATTGTAATTATGTTCCACCATTAATTTTAAAATTTCTTAAGAATTATATAATTGTCATTGCTATGTTAAGTGAGGTTCATTTTTATAGTAATAGTACGCAAATAATGTGTCAGGGAAACTTGATTGTTATTTACTAGCTATTTCCTATAATACTTATTATAATTAAAGCACAGTATGATACTTAAAATACTGGTCAGAAAGATCAGAAATTTGGGGGTTTGTCAGCGTGGGCCTTTTTTCCTTACCTCAAAACCTGGTAATAAAAACGATCCACTCCATTTAACTCCCAGATTTGTTGCAAAAGCTATTATTTCATTTTTCATTTTTAAGAAAAAAGTAGATTGTTTTAAAATATAATTTAAAGTCACAATGCTCAATCCCATCTCAGATTAAAAAGCCTTCAAAATTCTCTACAGTTTCCTATTAAACAGAATAACTTAGAAGAAAAGAAACCTGAAATTGCTATAGAAGAATCAAAACATGAAAAATATTTTCTCACCACTCCTCATCTGTTCAACCTCACAGAAGTGCGTTCCAGTGGGAGTATGAATAAATGCGTGGACATGCTTAGCTCCATTCTGAAAATTAGAAACCAACATTGTTTCCAATAAAATTTCAGCATGTCATAAAGCCAATTTCTTTAATTAAACTGAGAGCACAAATAAGTAAAAGTAACCTTTTCAAAACGCTTCCAAGGGACTTCTTCCACGTAGACTTGAGCTCTGATGACATGGTTAAAAGAAGAAAGGAAATGTTCACAGATATTCATAGCAAACGTTTCTATGCTTTTGATCTGTAAAAAGAAACAAAATGGGGGTGAGACCAAGATGGTGGTGTAGGCCTCCCACAACCACATCAAAATTACAACTAAAATACAGAACAACCATTATCCAGAACCATCAGGAAGCTGGCTGAATGGAAGTCCTACAACTAAAGAGGTAAAAAAGAAAGAACACAGAGACTGGTAGGAGGTGTGGAGGCATGGAACAGGCTGGTCCAGCACCCACGTGTGCCACTTTTTTAATTAGGTGGGAGATTGTCTCTGCAGAGGCCGCCCAGAGGAGCAAGGGGTCCCAGCCCCACAACAGATGCCCAGCCGAGGGTCCCAGAGCTGGGAAAAGAAGTCCCCGTAACTACGGCTGTAAAAACCAGTGCAGATTGGGGCTCACTGACACAGAGGCTGCTGGAGTGGTGAGTGTTCTCCCAGACGAGGTACTTGCAGGAATCATTGTTCTTATGCTGGGACGTCCCCAGTCACAGGGCTGACTGACAGCCATTTCTGTTTGCTCCACCCTGGTGATTCCCTGAGACCCGCCTCATCCAATTTCCAGCCGTACCCAACCTGTGTGCAGCGGATTTTGCATATGAATAGCCTGTCCTTGCTCAGGCTAAAATCTGTCAAACAAACTGCAGCTGGTCAGGGAGCCCCAAACCTATCAATAAATGGCCCAAGACCCGGCACCACCACCCACCTGCCTTGCTTCACAGATGGGCCTCATCTGGGCACTTCCAAACCTGACACAAAGAAAAGGAATCTGCAGATCTCTCTATAGCTCCTGCTGTGTGGCCCCAGGCAGTGGCTGCCTTTACTCCTCTCTGGAGACTCAAGAGCCAGTGTACCCAGTGTCAGATCATACCTGATTACAACTCTACACATCCATAAATAACACACTCAAGGGGCAGACTCAGTGAACATCAAAGCCCCACTGAAGCAAGTCCTGCTCCATAGGGTGTTTCCTGCACAGCAGCTCTCCCTCTGTAGTCACAGCTGGTCCTCATAGCCAATTGGCCTGGAAGTCAATTCCTCCCAGTGACACCAATAGCAATCAAGTCTCAACTACAACAAGACTGTGCACACAGCCCACAAAGGGGTGCACCAAGAGTGTCCACCTCAGGTGATTGGGGAGGCTGAGCCACTGGGCCCTATAGGACACCTACTACACAAGGCCACTCTATCAACTCAAGGAGACATAGCAGCTCTTCCCAATACATAGAAATAAACACAGAGAAGCAGCAAAAATGCAGAGACAAAGAAACATGTCACAAATGGAAGAAAGCAAACTACTGGATACAGAGTTCAAAATCACAGTTATAAGGTTACTCAAGAATCTTTTAGAGACCTCCAAGGGACTTAGTGAGACTTTTAAGAGTCTTAGTGAGAATGCCAAAAAATGGAAAAGGACAAGTCAGAAATTAAGCATACACTAACTGAAATAAAGAATAATATACAAGAATTCAACAGTAGACTAAAGGATCCTGAGAATCAAATCGATTTGAAATATGAGAAAGCAAAAACACCCAACCAGAAGAGAAAAAAGAAAAAAGAATCCAAAACTATGAAGATAGTGTAAGGAGCCTCTGGGACAACTTCAAGCATACCAACATCCACATTATGGGGGTGCCAGAAGAAGGGAGAGAGCAAGATATTGAAAATATATTTGAAGAAATAATGACAGAAAACTTCCCCTACCTGGTGAAAGAAATAGACTTAAAAGTCCAGGAACCACAGAGAATCCCAGACAAAAGGAACCCAAAGAGGACCACACCAAGACATATCATAATTAAAATGCCAAGGGCTAAAGACAAAGAGAAAATCTTAAAAGCAGCAAGAGAAAAGCAGTTAGTTACCTACAAGGGATTGCCCATACGACTGTCAGCTGATTTCTCAACAGAAACTATGCAGGCCAGAAGTGGCAAGAAATATTCAAAGTGATTAATAGCAGGGACCTACAACCAAGATAACTCTACCTAGCAAAGCTGTCATTTAGAATTCAAGGTCAGATGAAGAGCTTCACAGACAAAAAAATGGTAAGGAGTTCATTACCACCAAACCAGTATTATATAAAATGCTGAAGGGTATTCTTTAAGAAGGGGAAGAAGAAGAAAAAGATAAAGATAAAAAATATGAACAACAAAATGGCAACAAATACATATCTATCAACAACTGAATCTAAAAATCAGAATAAACAAATGCAAAATCTAATGAACAGAATAAACTGGTGAATAAAATAGAATCAGAGGCATAGAAATAGAATAGACTGATGATTCTCAGAGGGAAGGAAGGATGGTGGGCAGGAAGAAATTAAACAAAGATCTTATGTGTATACTAGTGGCCCGGTGCATGAATTTGTGTGCATGGAAAGGATATTAATTAGAAGGTGGCCATCGGGGTGGGACTGAGCAAGATGGGCTGGACATGCCCTGGAGCCAACCTCCCATGGTCCCTCCCAGGCTGACCGTACCTGGGTAGCACCGTGGCTCGAAGGGCATCTGCAGTCACTGCAGCTCCGCAGTAAACTAGATTTGGGGCCGACAGTGCCCCAGCAACAACATAACCCACAGCCAAAGGTGGAATCACACAGCCCCATGAGGAATCGGGCTCCCTCCTCTCTGGTTCTGGGATGCATCACCTGAGAACCACCACTGCCAAGTCACCACAGCTCAGCAGCTCCTGCATTGAGCATCTGTCCCCTGGTGGTCAGTGTATGTCATATCTACCAGCCAGTCAGATGGTCAGACAGTTGGACAGTCACTTAGCCTTTTATATATATATAGATATGCATTATCTATGAACACAGACAATAGGGTGGCAAAAGCCTGGGGTGGGGCAGGACCCAGGTGGGTTGGAGCAATAGGGGGGAAAAGAGGGACTTCTGTATAATCTCAACAATAAAGATTTAAAAAAAAACATTTTAAAAAAGAAACAAAATGCTAGTGATCAGAAATACTTGTCCCACTTAAAAATAATTTTTAATATCCATGGATCTCCCTTTTGAATCAAGTGCTATCTAGAGACAGAGAAATGTAAAATTAGAAAGAATCTTGAGAGCTGAATTGGTTGTTATTCCAATTTTTCACAAAGGCTCCTAAGTGTAATTGATAAATCACCATCACCAAGTGAGACTATCATTTTTCTTAAGAAACCTGCTTTGTAGGACATGTGTCAATCAGTAGATGAGCAAAAGTAACTTATTCAGATGCTTCTCGCAATGAGCTTGCCATCACCTACACCAGGTACAGTACTACATTATACTCCAAAACGCTCTGGACTCTATGAGGCTGGCAAATAGGCCTCCAAGTTTTCCGAGGAAAAATGTTAATGAAGGGTCACTTCAGCTGTCTTTGCCTTGCAAACAGGCTTTCTGTTGACCATCCTCAGCTCTTCACCCTCATAAAGCAGCTCCTCACTTCCACACAAATTCTTCATATTAATCTCCAGGCAATGTTTGATGGTGTTATCATAATCTACAGATTATTTAGGGCTTTCCTATAATTAAGGTGGACTATTTATACAGGTTTCCCCAGGATAAATCTGACATTTTTGAGACATATTCTACCTGTTGTCCTAGAATAATTATTAATAGCATCCCGTTCTACTCTCAAAAGTGTCCTGATTTGGAAAATGAAAGGACTAACTTAAAAAGATACATACACCCCCATGTTAATTGCAGCATTATTACAGTAGTCAAAATATGGAAATGACCTAAGTGTTCATCAATGGATGAATGCATAAAGAAAATGTGATATATATAATGCAGTGGTTCTCAACCTTCTGGCCCTTTAAATACAGTTCCTCAATGTTGTGACACAACCATAAAATTATTTTCGTTGCTACTTCATAACTGTAATGTTGCTACTGTTATGAATCGTAATGTAAATATCTGATATGCAGGATGGTCTTAGGCGACCCCTGTGAAAGGGTCGTTTGACCACCAAAGGGGCCCCGACCCACAGGTTGAGAACCGCTGATATAATGGAATATTATTCAGCCATTAAAAGAATGAAATTTTGCCATTTGCAAAAACATGGAGAACTTGAGGGCATTATGCTAAGTGAAATAAGTCAAACAGAGAAAGAAAAACGCTGTATGATCTCACTTATATGTGGAATCTAAAACAAACTCAAAACAAACTAATAAAACCAAGCCCACAGATACAGAGAACAGATTGGTGGTTGCCAGAGGTGAGGGGTCGGGGGTGAGAAGTCAAATGAATAAAAGGAGTCGAAAGGTACAAACTTCCAGTTGTAAAATAAATAAATCAGGGGGATGTAATGTGCAGCATGGAGACCACAGTTAGTGGGACTATACTGCATATTTGAAAGTGGCTAAGAGAGGAAATCTTAAACGTTATCACAAGAAAAACGATTCTGTAACTATGCATGGTGATGGATGTTAACTAGACTTATTGTGGTGAACATTTTGCAATAAAGGCAAATATCAAACCATTATGGTGTACACCTAAAACTAATGTATGTTGTATGTCCATTATGTTTCAATTTAAAAAATAGGAAAAATGTGTTCTGGTTTGGATAAAAAATGATACGATCATTTTGTCTAACATGAATTAATTTGGTGTTCAAACATCCAGATTCATTCCTTCACTTCTCTTCACCTCTCACACAGTACAGAAAATGTAAAAATCTGTGCTACCCAGCTCTCTTTTGTGGTGCAGTACAAAAACCTGTTTTCAATTTATGTTTTTAAGAGAGCAATGCCTTTGTCCATAGCCATGTCTGTGCTTGCTGGGCCATTCTGATTAGCAAGAGAAAGGTTCAGAGTGGAGATATGCCTTGCAGAATTTGTATTTCAGTTAAATTTGTTCATTTCATGGGTGTGGATTTCATGCCAAAAAGCATGAGAAAAGAAGCTTTCCTATCTACATTTCTTGTCTTTTTAGGCTTCTTAGCAAATAAAAAATTTTTTCTTGAATTGCCCAGAAATCTGCTGGTGGACCAGCACAGCTTCACTCACACTTAAAGAAACTTGAGGTGAAAGTGCTAACATATCAGACTCTATCAGTTCCAATGCCCTTTGGAAGAGTATAATTGCTGCCATATATGGATACTAAATGGTCATCGAGTTAGGAAGACCAGGAAAGCATTAAAAGTTGGACAAATATATTTCAAAGTGTATCTTGTACTTAAGATTTTCTTTTATAGCAACACCAACAAGAGAAATGGTATTTTCTTCTATAAATTTTAAGAGGAAAAAATAAATAATTAGACTCAAAGAAATGAATGACAAAAATGTGTAAATTTATGATCTGAAACGCTCTCAGGACCTTGATTTGTCATGGTCCTAATCAAGAGATAACCGTAAAATTCTTTAATAGGATTCTCTATCTAAAAGGTGTTATAAGTGTTGAGATCCAAGAAAAGAGAACAAAGAGGTGAATTTAAAACAAACAAACAAAAACAACCAAGCTTTTCTGTAAGACTGGGAACTTTAGAATGGAAAAGAAAACTTTTTTTAATGGCTTAAATGTAAAAATAAGGTTTAAAAGCAAAGGGAACTTGAAATAAGCAAGCAATATCATTATGTTATAGAATAGTGAATCCTGCATCGTAATTGGCAGCATCTAAGAATAATAACACATACTCCTTTGAACTTTGCCAAGACGTGAACTGTGTTCTTGATGGTGTCTGTAGGGATGATGTCTGAATTATCTCCATGTAGATAATCTTTTTTGGAGCTCAGAGTAAGTTGCACCGAAGTTGCCACCTCTTTAATGCTGTGAAATTTTCCATCTCGCTGAATACGGAGAACTTTTACCATATCCTTCCCGTAGCCAGTTCGGACAAACTCCACCTCATCATTCTGCAATGAAAACATAGTTGTTGATAAAGGCTAAGTGAAAGCAAAAGGTCAATTGCAATTTGTCTAAGCCTTAATTGTATCATATACAGCAGGTCCTCGTTCTGGTATAATTGATCAGATGCCATACTAACTTAACTTTTATTTATATCAATTAGCCTGTGGTAAAACTGGTTACATAATAATGTTTTTCACTGTAGTGCCAAGAACCTATCAATGTTAAGTGAGGAATTACTATAATTGTAATAATCAGAGTATTCTTGAAAGCAAGGTCATGTCTCACTTTTGAAGAAGAAGGGAGAAAGGAGAATCACAAGTAACCAATGAAACTATATCAGATTGGCCTGAACACAGGAAGATGGCTTTCTTGATAATAATAAGTAATAATAATAACTGTACTTCATGGGCTAAACGACTCTGTTTTATTTAATCCCTGCTAAGGTAATCCTTATAACAGCTCTGAGAACTAGTATTATTCCCATTTTACAGAGGGAAAAACTGAGGTTCCAAGAGTTTAAGCAACTTGCCCTCCTACACATAGCTAGTAAAGGATAGAGCCAAGCACTCACACTCAGGTCTGTTGACTTTACCTTGTGTACTCCTAACCACTACATAAACAGCCTTTCTTGTATAAAATGCTTTGACTATGTGAACTGGAAATAATTGTATTCCCTTTTTTATAGAGAGTGATATTCTGGAGAAAATGTCCTGTGATCAATAAAAACAATTTGAAAATTGATTCTTCTACCTGCTGGCAGGAAGAAGGGTAATTAGTGGCAGGGTCCAGATTACCTTCAGGAGTGCGGAGCCAGGGCCATCTGACACAGGGAAAGCTATGCTTTAGCAAAGAGACACTTAATAAAAGCTTCGTGATTGAGTCATTAGTACTCTTGTCTGAAGCTGGAGCCCTCACTAGCTAATACGTCCGTCTCCACTGCTGGGTTCCACAGGACGTGTTCCTGGGCTTTATTGGTGTTTGAGAGGAGAGGCAGGAGGGAGCAGAGGAACAAAAAAACATTTTTTTTTTCAGCATTGAAATTGCACATTAAAATTGTAATGAAAGAAGGGAACAAAAGTAAATCAAAACCAACATTCAGTGAGAATGTGGGGAAGGGCTCAGGGAAGGAAACTGGCCTGCTCATGGCACATAGGTGATATGCTGAGAAACCCCAGGATTGCCTACAAATGTTTGCATAAAAAATCACCAGGTCCCCTGGGAAAGTTTTTAAAATTCTAGCCAACATCAGAAATTATTGTAATGTTCTTAATCACAGTGAGATGGGAGGCTGTCTTAAATCTTGGGGATAAACCCTAAAAATGTGTGGTGTCTGAATTCAATCCTTTCTCTGTGGGAAGGACACATTGAAGGGACAACTCTTGGAGAGATCCCTCAAAAGCCTCTGACCCAATCGTTGGGAGACTTATAATTCAAAAACAGGACCAATAAGAAAACAGAAGGAGCAGACTTAAGGGATCCTAATGAGAACTATAATAGTGACAGGGAAAGGGGCATGTTGTATAGTTATAATGGCTTTGGAATCAGAGCAGGCCCAAATGCTGCCTTCCTACGTACTAGTATAGCTTTGTAGCTTGTGACAAATAATTTGATGTCTCTGAGCCTCAGCGTTCCCATTTGTACCAATGAAGATAGACACTCCTTCTTGTAGGGTTTCTGGTGAGTGTGAAAGACCTGGTTCAGTTCCTAGTACCTAGTGATGCAGAGAGGTCAACCCTAATAATAGTGGTCACATCCGGCCTGGCTGTGGGCACAGCAGCAGCAGAGAGAGCCAAGGGGACCTTGAGAAGGCCCAGTCTTTGGAGTGGAGAGCACTATTGGTAGCAGCTAAGAAAGACTCTGATGTGCCTTGAGCAACAAGAGATTCTACCTGGGGGAGAGAGGCACCTGGCTGGCTTGGGGCCCTTGGATGATATGGGCTGGGATCCAGAACCAAAGTCTCTGAAATTATCCATTGTCGCCAGTGCACAGTAAGACTCAACAAATGTTATTCCTCAGTTCCATCCTCTGCCACAAAATCCTCAAGGTACAGTAGGTTAGTCTGTGAAAGCAAGTGGTCCCTAAGTGATATATATGAACATTAAATGATAGCCACTCTTCCTAGCCCCAGCCTGCTCATCTCTCCAGCTTCATGTCTTGCCACACTATTTTGAACTGCTTCGCTGTCCTGAGCTGACTGTGGTTGCCTAGGCTCTGCATGCTTTTCAGCCTGTAGACCTTTGAATTTGCCATTCTTTCTTTCTTGAACACTCCTTCCCTTCCTCACTACCCAACTACCAACCTCTTCACCTGCCTAACTTCTTCTGGGCGTCCTTCAATCTCAGATGTCACTTCTCCCGGTAATGTGCCCCAGCCCCTCAGGTCTGGAGTAGGTGCCCTTCAGTGCGCTCTCAAAATAGTTATTTTGTCAAATTGTATTGCAATTGCCTCATTTTGTGTCTAATTTCTTCAGGAATGGTAAATTATGGAAGCAGGAACAATTTTTATCTTAGTTGTTATGGCAACCCCAGTGCTCCGCACAGTGCCTGGAACATGAAGAGGTACTTAATAAAGTGCTTAATAAATGTGTCTTGAATGAATGAATGGTGCACCACCACCTCCACCCCTGTGTGGTGACACAGAATAGTTCATGAAAATATCCCAAAGATTTCAATGCAGGAAGAGCTGCTTTAGCTCAATCGGGAAGTTCCTCTTCCTGGGAAGGTGGGGAAGGCCCCTTCTTTCCTCTGATCACCACAGCCTGGAGATCACAGGCACAGCTGGCCAGAGAACAAAGGCCCAGGAAGGGCAGAGCTGGGTGTAGACAGAGTCAGCGATGCAGCACAAAGTGTTCGCATTGCTAACAAGACCGAGCGCTCCAGCACAGCGCAGCCGTCCCAGAGTTCATGCACGTCACACACAAGAGAGGTCAGTGGTCCTTAGCAAGCTCCTGATGCATAGCAGGTTCTGGCCTCAGCACCCGAGCAAGGCTGGAGTAATCAAGCTTGCCGAGCAATGAGTCCGAATAAAAAGGACACAACCTTCTGAGGCTGGAACAGAATGGAACAGGAACGATGTGGGACACCCAAGGGTCTCTCAGCAGGACCCGACAACACGGGTGATAGCCTGGACCACAGCTGACGTTGTTCTTTTTAATAAGGCTTCCTCACTTCCATAGTCAGAGAAATCAGAAGTGCCAGAACCTCCTTTGCATCATGCCCAGTATGGCGCAGAGACCCACATCCGAGACCGCTGCACAGTAAAATGCAAAGGCCGCTCTCATCTGGCGCGTGGTCAGGGGCTGAGAGCGTGGGCTCTGGGCTCTGGGCTCTGGGCTCTGGGCTCTGGGCTCTGGAGTCAGGCAGGCCGGGTGTGGATCTTTGTCCTGCTACCTAGTAGCTCTGTGAATGGAGGCAAATTTCTCCATCTATAAAATGGGAATAATAGCAGTGCACATTTCTTAGGATTGCTGTGAGGATTACATAAGAAAAAACATCAAGTACTTAGAAAAGTGTCTGGCAAATAGTAAGTGTTCAATAAATGTTAGCTATAGTTATCATTGATAAATAATAATTCTATTTCAAATGTTTGCATCAAAGGGTCCCATGGTTACTGTTCGCAATAAATACCCAGACTGCACACCGATCCAGAACAACGGTGGCGAAAATCAAAGACTGCTGCTGTGATGAGGCCTGAGTCAGCCTTCATACTTCTGCTAGGATGTCCTGCCCCAGGCTGTGTGGCTTGAGGACATGGTTACAAAAGGACTTGATTTCCTAGAGAAACACTCTGGAAAAAATATCAGCAGGAGTAAATCTTTTCCTGGCTCCACATGAGAAAAATCCCCTTTTCTTAGACATCTTTTGAAATACAAAAGGATGGAGACTCATTATTTGCCCGCAAGTAATGTTGGAGGAAACTCTCAGAGATTTTAAGTAAATCATATGAAGTTTCACTTTTGTAATGAGATAGTGAGTGTTCTCTCATTCCCAGGTCATATTGAAAGTGATGGAGGCTGTCACTACAGTCTAAGGCAGCGGTTCTCAACCTGTGGGTCGCGACCCCTTTGGCGGTCGAACGACCCTTTCACAGGGGTCGCCTAAGACCATCCTGCATATCAGATATTTACATTACGATTCATAACAGTAGCAACATTACAGTTATGAAGTAGCAACGAAAATAATTTTATGGTTGGGTCACAACATGAGGAACTGTGTTTAAAGGGCCAGAAGGTTGAGAACCACTGGTAAGGGGTCTTAGCCTGGAGTCTGTTAACCTCTACAGGGCCCCATGGATGGATTTGAGGCAGAAAAATATTAGGAACGATGAGGCAAAACTTTTACAAATGTAAATTTTAAAATAAGTAGAATTTTCTTTCAAGAGCAGCATCTCTACCCTCCATAACAGAGAGGAATACAAAAGGGCTAGCTATTTAGGACCCATCACCCAAGTGTGAATATCGATTCAGCTGTAGTTGTGCTGTGATAACTGGAAGAACTCTGCATGGAGACAGCCTCTGGAATGTGATGGAGAAGTTCTTCCAGTTCTCTGCACAGGTTTGCCCCCTTGCCTGGCTATTTTCTTGCATATTTGTGAACAAAAGGACTTCGGAAGAAAATCCTGAACTAACATAAGAGAAAGGAGCACTCCAATGAACAATATTAATATCACTTAGATGAATTCTAACAATATGGAACGAGAAGAGCAGTAATGATGCATAACAACCGCAGAGGCAGCTGGTATTTTTTTGGTTGCCTAGGATCTCCTAAATGTCACATGGGAAAATATTGATATCTAGTGGAAAATGTCATGTGGCTATAGACTGTAGAGTAGTTTATTTTTGCCATCAAGGGAAGATGTGCCCTGAGTTATGTTCAAAGGGTGACCCTAGAGGGGTTTGTCAAGCAGATGTTTCCAGGAACAGTATAATGTATACACTTAATATGGTAGCTAGAAATGGTGACCTGCTGCTTAATGAAGACTCTATTTACAGGTGCTCCATTATTTTCATACTTCTGCCTGCTACCAAAGAAGAGAGAGTCGTCACTAAATGCCAGGGGAAATGCTCATTTTCTTGCCAGCCTCTCCAGGGCACCAAGCAGCCTTAGGGGAGGGAACTGGATCAGGGCCCTGAGGTGTCTCTAGAATTGGGGGCAGGATACCCCACAAAGAATTGATGAAGACCTCCAAAAAGGCAGTTAAGAAAATTTTACTGAAATGCATACACTAAAAGATATCTCGCCCTAGCCGGTTTGGCTCAGTGGATAGAGAGTTGGCCTGCAGACTGAAGGGTCATGGGTTCAATTCTGGTTGAGGGCACGTACCTTGGTTGCAGGCTTGATCCCCAGCCCTGGTTGGGGCACATGCAGGAGGCAACCAATTGATGTGTCTCTCTCACATCGATGTTTCTCTCTTTCTGTCTCTCCCCTGCCTTTCCACTCTCTCTAAAAATCAATGGGAAAATATCCATTGATATTTTTAACAACAACAACAACAAGATATTTTGTTCCTAATGTATAAGTCTTGAAAATGAAAATAATATTAGCAACCATTTAGTGAGGGTTTGATATGCATCAGGAACTTTGCATATATTACTTCATTTAATTATTTAAAAAACAACAACTTATAAAGTAGTTATATTATCCAACTTTGACAAAGGAAGACACTGGGGTCGGGTAATCTGCCACGGTCAGACAGTTACTAGGTGACAGAACAGGAGGAGAACCCAGCCCATTTGGCTTCAGATGCCATGCCCTTACCCACTACCTCAGAGTCCCTACATCCCTTGCTGGCAAGCCCCTCCACTCATTAGGAACAGAAAAAAAAAGCATTCTGATCCTAACAGGAGGGGGGATGGCCATGCTATTGCAGAAAGCTATATTTCTGCATCATTTTTAAATTTTCCACCCAATGAGACCTACGGTATCTTATCTATTCCTCACAAAAACCTTGTAATTTGGTGGACAGACTCCCTATCCTATATAATAAAAGTCTAATATGCTAAGTATCCGGTCATCCGGTCGTCCGTTCAACCAATCAAAGCGTAATATGCTAATGATATACTAAGGCTGCTCAACCACTTGCTATGATGTGCACTGACCACCAGGGGGCAGATGCTCCAACCGATAGGTTGACTTGCTGCTGGGGTCCGGCCAATAGGGACTGAACAAGATGGGTCGGACACGCCCTGGAGCCCTCCCGTGGCCCCTCCCCGGCTGGCCAACCTCCCGCATCTCTCCCCAGCCCTGATCATGCACTGGTGGGGTCCCTTGGCCTGGCCTGCACCCTCTTGCAATCCAGGACCCCTCAGGGGATGTCAGAAAGCCGGTTTTGGCCCGATCCTGCAGGCCAGGCCGAGGGACCCACTGGTGCATGAATTTGTGCATCGAGCCTCTGGTTTTAAAAATAAACTAACTTACCCTAGCCGGTTTGGCTCAGTGGATAGAGCATCAGCCTGAAGACTGAAGGGTCCCAGGTTTGATTCTGGTCCAAGGCATATGCCTGGGTTGCAGGCTCGATCACCAGTTGGGGCCATGCAGGAGGCAGCCGATCAATGAGTCTCTGTCATCATTGATGTTTCTATCTCTCTCTCCCTCTCCCTGCCTCTCTGAAATCAATAAAAATATATTTTAAAAAATATAAATATAAAAATAAACTAGCTCAGAGATGTTAAGTGAGCTGCCCAAAGTCACACAGCTGATAGGCAGACAGGTATAGTAGAAAAAGCTTGCTGAGACTGTCAAGTTTTATTTTACTTACACTATGCTAGGCAGAACTTACCCAACACCAAGAGATGCCCCCCATCCAAAACATCACTTTTTCTAGCACTTCAGTCATTTTTTTTTAATTACAGGGAAAGCATAAGCTCAGATGGATTCTGTGTTTATTGCAAGAGCATTTAGGCTGTGAAGTAAGGGGAGAATCGAAGGGTGATTGCCCTTTGGGGCAGGATGAAAACTCAGCTTCATGCCTTTAACCACAGGGCACTATGTTTGAATTAAACATTGACGTTTATCTGGCTGATGTAGACTTATGTGTGGTCATTGGAACCATGTTGCCAATGGACTGGTTTTAGTCCATCTGTAAGGACAAAGAAGTGGGTGCATCTTGGAAGAAAAGGAAACAAGGTGGGAAGGAATCAGCACTGAATGAGCTCCCGGTTATGTGTCAGAGGCTGTGCACACAGCATCTCATCAAATCCTGACAGCGCTCTGTGAAGGTGCAGATGAATCCCACCTTTACAAAAGGAAGCTGATGTTCATCATTTTCATTTGGTCAAAACCACTTGGCTAATGAGCATCGGGGGCAGGCATGGAACCCAGGCCTGATTATTTGCATTCTATCCCCGCTGCCTTCCTGACACATTACAATGAAGTTCTTTATAATGGGATTTTACCTACCTAACCACTTTTATTTACTTCTCTGATTAGTTTTAATTCATTCTAAACTCACATAACCCCAAACTCTTTTCCATTAAATTCCTACATTCACCTATATTTTCTTAGCTTCTTTTATGTGACAAGCACCACAGTAAGCTCTCTAGAAACAACAGTAAACAAGACAGACACTGTTCTACCCTGATAGAGAGTATACACTAGAACAAACTTTTTTGGTAAGGAATCAGAAAGCTAGTATTTTAGACTTTGCAAGCTGTTATGATCTCTGGTGCAACTGCTCATTTCTGCCATAATAGCATAAAGTAGCTACATAATACATGAATGAATGGGTATGACTGTGTTTCAATAAAGTTTCTTTATAGAAACAGACAGTGGGCCAGATTTGGCTCACAGGAGTTTGCTGACCTCAGCTCTCTAAAGTAACCCCGGAAAGTCATCAAGTAATCAGAAAACATTCTTATAATACTCTAATTGAAAAAATACAGTGAGCTCTGGGTCTATATTGCAGGGACACCTAAGCCAGTTGGAGAGAGATTCAGGATGGCTTCCAGGAGGAATTGGCATTCACAAAACCACCTGAACAATGAGAAGAATTAACCAAATAAAATTTTTCTGGCCCTCTTCCACTTATGTTCTCCTTCAACCACATTTCTAAGGAACAATTCCTTATTTTATAAATATCTGAGTCTTTTTGCTTGTCTCATCCCTTCTTATCAAAATAATTCAAGTCCCCTCCCCTTCCTCCCTCAACAAGTGCATCAACTTTTTCCCTCAGTCTGTCACATTCTAGATTTTACTCCATACATTAGCAGTCTTTTAAAATTTGAACAAAAATAGAAGTTGAACTTAGATAAACTTTATAGTATGTAAATCAGACCTTAAAAGCCTATTGAAAATAAATAAATAAGGCCAGGAGTCCTTACAGGATGACTAAACTTTTAAAAAATATATTTTTTTATTGATTTCAGAGAGGAAGGGCAAGGGAAAGAGAGATAGAGACATTAATGATGAGAGAGAATCATTGATTGGCTGCCTCCTGCACACCCCTTACTGGGGACTGTACCTCCTGCATGCCCAGGAATTGAACCATGACCTCCTGGTTCATAGGTGGACATTCAACCACTGACCCACACCAACCAGGCAGGATGACTAAACTTTGATGAAGCCAGCACAGACCAGGATCTGGAAAAACTTAACTTTATCTCAGTCTCAAAAAGTTATCACAGATTAAGCTTCAAGGAGCTTGAATTCATAGTCCAAAATCAAAAGTACACAATGAGAGAGAGAGGGTTGTAGAAACAACAGATAGCAAAGTGTGACTTGCCAAGTCTTCAGATATTAAAATTATCAGACATAAAGTACAAAAATGTATACTTAATATTTTTTATAGACATAAGAGAGAAGAATGACTTTATCTTTTTTTTTTGAGATTAGAGTGTAGCTTCTCTTGAACAAGAAACAAGGGACCATGAAAAAGACCAAGTAAATTTGAAAAAGAACCCAGTAGACCCTTCTAGAAATTCATTGATAAGTGGATTAGTTATTTGGAAGGGACAGATTAAATAACAGATTAATGGCGCCAAAGAGAGAATGAAAGAACTGGAAGATAGATCCAAATAAAGAAGCAGGGATTAATGCAGATGCACAGGAGACATGGAAGAGATATAAAATGTACTAGAAATATATGATAGAGCAAATGTGGAAGAGGCAGAATTCCAAGAGATCAAGACTGAGATTTTCTAGAATTACTGGACGAATGAATGTAAACTTTTAACCATAAAATAAGAAGCTCATTAACGAGTGAAGAACTCTTTCTTGTTCAATACACTTGGCGAAGTTACAAGGAAGGGATTTTCTACCATTTTTTAGATGTGATTATGTTGTGAGGCAGAGATGGTATATTTATAATATTGCATTGCTTGGGCTTAAGAGGTAGGAAATATTGTGAAAAACATTCTGCCCAGGTTACATTTTCTCCCTATACCAAATTCACTGTGTTTCTGTCCACAAGATTATTTTGCTATTTTTAGTAAAAGCTGGGACACGTTGGAATCTAGGCTTTAGGGTGATGTTGAAATCCGTGGAGCCCCACAGCATCCAATACGGTGTGCAACCACTAGTGATTGCATAAGGAAGGTTGTTGACTGAAATCGACTGATCTCGTCAGCAACAATGGGAGATAAGAAAGCTTACCGAAAGCAACATTTGAAAGTAAATAACCTACCAGTATTTTTCCAGACCTTGAAATAAAATTAGATTTAGCAAAAACCATCTTAATTCAGATGTACCCCAGCTCAATTACAGAAAGGGCTCAGGTTGTAATAAAAATCATCTTAGCTAATATTTGTGGATCATTTTCTATTTGCCAGGCAATGGGCTAAGCATGTAATGAGGAGAAAGCAGAAATTATTTTCTATCTTATTCAACAAATGTTTAGCCTACATAACTAAAAACAAGATGCTTATATTCTCTTTATTCTCTAAATGTATCACTGAATTGTAAGCCTGGCATACTCAGCTATTACCATTGTAATGCCAAAAGGTATTGCAAGATAAATAAAATTAATTCTATTTTATTTTAACTTAGAAAAGTAAACTTCAGACTATAAAAATTTTTTTAAATTGATGAAAAGGTTGGGGTTGTTGAGATGCCTTTTTTTTTTGCTGAATGCAGTAAAAACATATATAAAACAAAACAGTACTATGGAGAAATGGTCAGAAAACTGTTCCTTGGTTTACCAATTTGGTGGGTTGTGCATCTACCAGACACAGCATAGCCTTGGCCTCGGGGCAGCGAGTCTCAGAGTCTAAGGTACACCCGCATTACCAAAACCTTGTGAAAAAGGTAGGCTCCTGAGCCTAACTGGAAGGATTCTGATTTAGCAGGTTTGAGTTGAAGCCCAGAATTTTGCCCTTTTCACAGGCACCACGGGAAAATGTGAGTGGGCGGTCTAGACATCCCTCACAAAATACTTTTTTCGGAGATATAGAACCCCAAGCCCTCCCTTTCCTGTAAACCCTGAGAGCCCTGAACAACTCCCATTTAACCACAGAACTCATCTGATTCACAAGGGTCCAGTTTGATCTGAATCCTGAAGTGGCTCTGATCTGGATCCATGTGTATAGGAACTATCAGAGCCACAAGGATTTCTAAGTGTGAGGTAAACTGCTATTTATTATAACAGCATCTTTAATAACTGATTCAAAAGCATCAAAGAGGAATTCTTTTCATATGCCTCTCTACCCTTCCCCTCCTCTAAAAAGAGAATGGTCTCACCTTCTTATAGTCGTTATGGTAATGAGCCATTTTCTCTTGGCCTTCTACTTCAGATTCAGTCTCAAAAATGAGAAAGACTAGTTTGGGCAAAACAGATATTTCTAACATTTTTTATTTGGCCTGAAGAGTAAGCGGTCGATATGTTTACCTGATTGCATTACAGCCAATTGGACACCAAGGCCTCATTAAAGTACCATGTTGAGTGGCTAAAACCAGGAGGTGGAGAGCATATGTAAACATCTTTGGTAAAATACAACTGAGTTTGCTCTTACTTTGAAACAACCCTTTGAAATACCCTTCAGGAACTGTTTTCTCAAGATAGAGAATATTACAAGTGATAGATCTTAGTTATTACTAAACCATAAGGTGTTGTCATTTCTATTTAATGAGTAAACCACAAACATCATAGAGGGACAATCATGAAGGGGAAAAACATGAAATATATTTAATTCAGCATCTATTTATCAACATGGAATTCCCTTGTCGACTGAACTTTATATTATACAACGTTCACTCCAAAGGGTTAAGTTATGTCCCTTTTTCTCTCTAGAACCTTCTGATGACTTTGCAGACCAGTCAACAATTCAGCACAAAGACATCCGGAGTCACGCTAGTGTGTTGTGACAGAATCACAGGACTATGTGGGATTCGTCCCATTCTGAAAATGCCACGAACAGCAGAGGCAAATGAAAGCAAATGTCAGAGCCAGCACAGCCTGAGAGAGACCTGAAACTCAGACTCCACAATCTATAGGGACAGTTTTCTGCTGTGGCACTGAGCGGCGGTGGTAGATGGAAAATGACAGCAAGTCTTCTAAGAACGACCCTTGCTTTGCTCTTCCTTGGCCTCTTCGGGGTCCTGGAAGCGACAATATCATGCAGAAATGAAGAAGGTGATGCTGTGGATTGGTAGGTAAAAGACATGTAAGGTTTTGTGTATGCAAATAGAAAGCCAGAGTGTAGAGGCAAACTGATTCACTGTGAAGTTCCCCAGGGAGACTTCCACCCGCCTCTCCCTTAAGAAGAGAGGAAATTAAAGTGTGCAAATGGGCCAAATATCCAGATAGGCTTCTGAGTGAGGGAGCTCCCCCCTGAGAAAGAGCTGAGCAGCCCTGTGGGCCTGACCCACTGCTCTCAGCGGGCAAGGCTGTTGGGCACAGGTGTGGGGTAGAGCTGACAGTTTCTCTCGGTTGGCAATTTCCTTTCATTGCATTGTGGCTTTGCTAACAGAACCCTTCCAGCATCCTTTTAGAGACTGACAAAGGAGAGAAGTCCAATTACTTTCTTTCTGACGCTGGAGCTTACGCTTCTCGTTATGACAATGAGGAAGAGGACACGATCGTACACAGTCCTGTTTGGTTCGCCTCACTTATTAGGCAGCACAAGCAGCTATTGGAGTTGCGGGTAGGTCAGTGGCCTCTTGAGCAATATCAAAGAGACTAAACACAGCTTTGCATCATGGTCATGGATTCCTCTAAAGCTTTGATCACTTTCTCACTCTTTAATTAGGGTATTTTAGTTTGCCACTGTGGTTGGCGTCAAGCATTGTGTAAACTTCAGGCTGGAGAATGCAGGCACATTCACTCAGCCTCTCAGCAAACAGTTACTAAGGTCAGAGCAGGCCCTGTGCTGAGCTTTGAATATACAAATATAAACAAAACATATTTGCCCTAATGAGCTCATAGTTATGTGGGAAGGGCATAGATGGCTCATTGAGGAGCGTAGAGCCCACAGGTTTCTCTGAGTAAGTAGTTTTTTGAAGTAAGTTTTAAGAACAAATATAAGTTAGGAAAACAAGGGAAATGCAAGGGCTTCTCAGGCCAATGAAGGAGCAATGAGAAGGTCCAGAGGCAAAAAAAAAAAACAAGGGGGAAAGTTTGAAAGCAGTTCAATATTGCTGACTCATACGGAGAAGGTGAGGAGATGGTAGGAGGTGAGTTTAGGGAGATAGGTGAAGAGCTTCATGTGCTGAGCCCCACAGAGTCTGAACTTGACTTTGAACGGGCTACTAAAGGACTTCAGGCGGAGATGTGATGTGGCCAGATTCTTATTTTAGAAAGCCCGCTAGCAGTACTGTGACAGCTGGACAGCTGGGGATCAGTCGCAGTGATGGCGAACCTATGACATGCGTGTCAGAGGTGACACGTGAACTCATTTTTTTGGTTGATTTTTCTTTGTTAAATGGCATTTAAATATATAAAATAAATATCAAAAATATAAGTCTTTGTTTTACTATGGTTGCAAATATCAAAATATTTCTATATGTGACAAGGCACCAGAGTTAAGTTAGGGTTTTTCAAAATGCTGACACGCCGAGCTCAAAAGGTTCGCCATCACTGGTCTAGAGTCATGAGGACCAATAGGACCTTTGCAGTATTACACATGAGAAGAGGAATAGACACAACTTAGAGAAGTGGTCATGGAAACAGAGAGGAGGGGACACTCTGAGAAGACTTAGAAATGGATGGCTGAAGGTCATAGGAGAAAGGGAGAAGTTAAAAAAGACTTGCAGGTTGCTGGCTTCTGTGACTGCGGGAATGTGTTCCCTAGCAGCGGGGGATGAGGAGATTTGGAGCAAAATATCACAAACTTGGTTTCAAAAATATAATGATGAGCATCTCTGGAACAGTCTTGCATTTAGATTTATCTGACCTCAGCATAGAGATCAGGGCTAGAAATTGATTTAGGGAATCATCAACATGTAATTGGAGGTGCTCACCCAGGAAATATATGTAAAAGCACTAGTTCTCAACTGCTGTGCCATGGCAAATGGATAGTTTACACACCCTTCACTCGGGGGAGGGGGAAGAGGGGGAGGCATCAAATTGTTATAAATATTTAAAATTTTTTCTTGCTCTAACTAAATGGACTTATTACTTAGCAATGTCAGTCAGAGGGAATGCTGAGCTGAGCAGACGGTGAGACAGTCTAAAGCTGCTACAGCTTACTTAAGTCAGCACCAAAGAATAATTTTCTTGCTTCCTGCCACATGTGAGGAGCTTGCCCTGAAAGTAAGAAAGCATGGTCAGGGCAGGAAAAAATTTACTTAGAAGCCTAAGATGAAAGAAAACCAAGTAAATAGTGAGAAGCTTTTATGGGCAGTTGAGACACTGTTGTGGGGTAATAGTAAATTCATGACAACGTTTGCTTTACTGTGAGTGTTGGAGGATTAGATGTGGGGTTTGTACCATTAGGGAGTATTTGGCTGGACCAGGATGATTTTGCCCTCAGGAGACGTTCAACAATGTCTGCAGACAATTTTTATTGGCACAACTGGGGAGTACTAATGGCATCTAATTGGTGGCAACCTGGGATGCTACCATGCATTGGACAGTCCTCCACCACAAGGAATGATCAGGCTCAAAATGTGAATAGAGCACATTGAGAAACCCAGAGCTAGATGATCCAAACATGCCCACATGCTACATTGGCCCAACCACCTCTCCTCCCCAAAGGAGATATACAAACAGGAGACAGTAGTGAAGGAAAGCATGGTGCCTACTTAATTAACTGGTATTACTCCACCTTTAACTCTCACAGTAAGTTGTAGAAGCTTTAGACTGTCTCACTGTCTGCTCAGCTCAAGTTAACTTGGCCCTGAACTCTCAATGGAGAGCATTCTTATAACCTGAACTGAAGAATGTGGCTTAGGCCAGAGGCTCAGGGGAGCCTCCACCTACCTGAAAGCCCAAACCCAAATCTCAGACCCAGGCAGCCAGTCACAAAGGTGAGCATCCAAGAACTTAGGGCAGAAGAGAAAAAGCACATCAAAGACGTCTCCAGTCCAGGCCTGGGCCTTGGCCTTCTCCCCAGTGTGGCAAAATGGACTGTGGAAATGACAGAGAGAGGCACTCTCAATACTCCAGGACTATCACTGTAGGAATCCCACCACCAGGCCGGTTAATGTCTTAGAATATGTCCAGTCAGATTCACATTTCCTTCTCTGGAAACAAGCAAGAATAAGGGTAGGAGCCCATAGAGCATTGGCCTGCAGACTGAAGGGTCCCGGGTTCAATTCTACTCAGGAGCACATGCTCTGGTTGTGGGTTCAATCCCCAGTAGGGGGCACGCAGGATGCAACTGATCAATGATTCTCCCTCATCACTGATGTTTCTATCTCTCCCTCTCCATTCCTCTCTGAATGCAATAAAAACTATATTTTAAAAAAGAAAAGAATAAGGGTAGGGAAAAAGGCTGAGGGCTTGAGCATATTCCTTTCCTAACACTCAGAGGCCTTTGTGAAATATAAGTGAAATGATGTATTTAAGTGATTAACACTGTGGCTGCCATCAGGGAAGCAGCCAATATATGTCAGTCATTCATAATTATTGCCTTTGCTAGGTTTACCTTTTATAAATTACCTAAAAGGCAAAATGAGGAAAGTAGAAGGACTGGGTTAGAGTACCTGTACCTGGACTCTACAACCAGAAGCTGGAGGAAGAGCAAGCAGCTAATGAACAGCACCAGGAGCGTTTTGGGAAGGACATTAGAACAGCTGTATGAAGCCTATGCCTCCAAGGTATGTGATAGTTATTCATTTAAATCATATAAAAATGCATAAAACAGAATCCAAAGCTTCCAAAAGATTTTAACTGCTCAGCCACCCAACCCTCAACCCTTGCACCTTGATTCACAATCTGAATCAATCTGAGCAAAACCTCAGGGAATATGTCATTGGGCTCTACAGCAGCGATTTTCAACCGCTGTGCCATGTCAGGCGCACTGGGGCGCCGCAAGAATTTTTAAAACATGCAATACCTGACTAGTTAGTCAGGGGCACTGACCTCTTTTTCCTTAGATTATCAAATCAAAAATGACAACTGCTAAGACAACAATAGCCATCTTGTGTGCATGAGTCAAAATTATACCTATTTTTTGTCAGATTGGCAAAAAATATATTTTTTGGTGTGCCGCAGAATTTTAGTAGTTTATATGTGCCATGAGATGGAAAAGGTTGAAAATCGCTGCTCTGCAGTAATGCCAAATTGTTGATACATTCAGCACCATGTGCAATGGTATCACTGGGCAAGGTGTGAACTAATTAAATAGCAAAGTCTTCTGGCTGCCAAATTCATTGCTTGCTATCTCATTCCTCTAATGGAACTATGGAGAAGAACCCGCTCCTGGAACAATGCAATGCAGATCTTTGATCAATGTGGCATTAGTTATGGAGTTGTTTAAGCCACGAATGGGGGTGACCTACTATGTATGTAAGGGGTCACCCAGTCTTCTTTTCATTAATCTTTTTCAAAATGGTAGGTTGAGGGCTAGACGCTTGTTCAAGACCCTAGATCTAAGTTGCCTGAATGGAGATTAAACCTGCTATCTGAACTTCATCAGGCGATGAGCTAACCAGCAAAAGAGACGTGAGGTAAGTAGGCTGCTGGCTCAACCTGGGCAGTTTCCCAGTGTCCCTGGCACCATCTGCGGTTCAGTGACAAGATACTGCTTTCCATCAGGGGTGACAAGTAAAATCAAACAATAATCAATATCCAATTACACTCAGGTATGCATTTGCTAACAAACAACTTACAGAGAAGTAAATACATAAAATGACTCCGCACTTACAATGTTCTGGGCTTTTCCACACATTAACTAATTAATCCCCCAGCAGTACTATTAGACTCTGACACTGCTGTGCATGTGAATCTGAGTATTTATTCAAAATGTGCAGAGGGCTGTCACTGTGTTTGCTAATGTTCATTTTTCTCACTTGCCATTAAGACCAGCCTTCAGAGCCAAGTTTCAAAGTCAAAACTTATTTGTAAGCTGTTTGAGCACCTGTGATGTGCCAGGCACTGCTCTAGGTGCTTTACAAAGAATATTTTATCTCAGCAACAACTCCGTTTTGAATAGATTATTATGTAAAGTCAAAATCGCCCGCGGCTGCTTCTGCTTTCCAAGGCTGGGGCTGAAGGCCCGGAACACAACTCAGCAGCGATAAAATACACACATTGTTCCCTTCCAGTCTTAGAGACTGAATGGGGGTGGGGGAGGGGGATTGGGGGAGTGGAGGCAGCAGCATTGAGCCTCTCTCAGCAACCTTAGTTGGAGTAGAAGGTTCTCAGTTTGGCAGAATATAATAATGATATTTGGAGGCTCAAAAGTAGCTCCAGTGCCTAGGAGGGCAAGAGAGCTAAACTACTCTGCAATATTGAAAAAGGGGTAGATGGGAGCTAGGAATTAAAAAGTAAAAGAAACATGGAGGAAAATTGGGGGCAGGTCAGCATGATCATGTACAACTATTCAATGTTCATACCTTCATGAAAACCTGCTCATACACAATGCCTTGAGTGATGGTTCTAGGGAAGAAATTACAGTAAAGGGGCTGATTTCCAGGTCTGATTGGCGTGGAACCAAAAGAAGAATGACAATAGTGGGTGATATCCAGGTAAGATTGGGTGCTTTTTGGAAACTGGAACTATGTGACCGTGAGAACATAATTCCCCACCCTTTGACCTGGAGTTGAACTTCTGAGAGTAAAATGCAAGGCCAGACCAACTGGTTTTAAATCTCACATGTGAAGGTGACCTAAACCAATATCTGGATTACATTTAAAATTGTTTCTCTTCTTTTGCCTCTGTAAACAAGAATCTTCCATACACCTTCCTAATAACACCAAATGACGTTGCTGTTGTCTGTACCTGTCTGTCTATATTCCGGCTAGCCTGGAGGCAGAGACCTGACCCTTCTTGTTCAACATCCACTAGTCAAAATAAGACTCAACATATGTGTTAAAGGAATAAAGCTGTCCAAAGGCACATGCTTACATCTGCCTATTCTTAAGTCCATGATCTTTCCAGAGAGCCGCTATTCCAACTACAGCTACAATCCCTATAACCTTAGCTAGTTGTTCAAACCTGGTTAGAATAATACATGTCATCGTATTATAAAGAACACATTTCCTCATTGAATCTTTCCAGAGCCCCTCCACATTGCACCCCAAAGGCACCTCTGCCCTCATTACCACATTTGCTGCAGGCTTAACGAAGAACTGTCAGAGGTCTCCAGAGAAGGATGCAAATGCCAATGGTAGCTATGGTCAACTGTGGAAAATGAGGGTGAGAAAACAGCTTACCGCCCTGATGTTTCTAACTACAGTAGCCAAGAATGCTATGCAGATTATACTGCACAATTTTTTACAAATGTTTTTAGATTACATCAGATAATTAAGCAGCTATAAGAGATTCAGTTATTGACTTTTTTTTTCCAAAGAGAAAAGCAAAGGCCTTTCTTAAGGAAATGGATTGTCCTTTTCTGCTTTTAATTGTCACAGATTTTTAAAAATATCAACATTATTGGATTCAATAAAGATCACTACTTCATGACACAAATGAAATGAAACCACACAGAGCAAATAGAAGTAAGTTTCTAAAACATGACACTGAGATACTCTCAAAATAGTAGCTTAATTTTGGAGAATTTATTAGTATTTTGGGTTACCAGAGGAAGCCCAATACCACACCTTCAGTCTCACCACTTTTTCTAAGCAGGAAAATACCAATTTAGGAAGATGAAACGATAGCGAAAGGGACCGAAGGAAAATCCTCTCTAGTCAGTGAGGTAGAGGAGCCAAGAATGAGAAATCCTGATTCAACACAGCACAGCGACCAAGCAGCAGAGCACAAAGCAGGCAGAAGAAATCAGATCCTGACAGCCTGTTCTGCATCGTGCCTATACTATCAATGGGAGAATCCCTGGTGTAATCCTTAACGACTGGTTGTTCCTACTTCATTTCCTGAACAAATACTTAACTACTTTTTTATTATACACTGGTTGTCAAATCAGAAGCATAGATCCAAAACAACCAAGGGAAATAGAAATGTAATCCTCACACACATCACAACGCATAGGGCTCCTGCCAAACAGGACAAAGCCATGCCTGGGTGTGAATGGACTTTCTGGCCCTGGTCTTGTAGGTCCCAGAATTCAGACTGATGGGGAAGCTGCCCATTAGGAGAATGGGTAATTTCTCATGCGTATTAATGAAAGCTCTGCATTGCAGGCTAGGTAGCTGGTAGAAATGTTGTGAGCATTTGTAAGTGAAAGATTTACACCATTGTAACCCTAACATGTTCCTGCAGAATAACAACACCGCCTATCTAATGTACAATGACGGAGTCCCTAAATCTGAGAATTACAGCAGAAAATATGGACACTCCAAAGGTATGACAAAGGCTCTTAGTTACTCTTTCTTACTGAAAGTCAACATTTTCTTAAACATCTTGTCTTCAATATTCTTATATTTCACACTAAAAAGAGAGCTTTTATTTTTTAATGCTTTATTTTAAGTTATCAAAATGTGATTTCTCTATCACAAGTTATAATTACATAATTTCCTTTTCACAAATGCCTTTCTCTTAACATATTTTTAGATATATGCTTTATAACAGAAATTCATGTACTGACTACTGGGAAAACTAGCCTATATGATAAAAAGCTAATATGCAAATGGTCATCATGCTGTCACGCTGGGGCCGGGGGACCTGAGGCTGCACCCCCCGCCCTGTGGGGCTTGATGGGGGTGGGGCCAGCTGGGTCTGGGTCTCACGCGATTTCGAGGTGCACATAGGTGGGTGGGGACTTGACTCTGGGTCCCGTGGCGCGCACCAGACTCTGATGGGAGGGAGATTTTCATATACATTTTACTAATTTTCTTTCATCTCTAACACTTCTATTATAGAGAAAAGGCAAATAGCAATATTAAAATATTTCCTCTAATTAATTCCCACTTAATGTGCACAAATTTCATGCACCAGGCCACTAGTATATATACATGTATGTGTGTCTCAGTGTGTATACCCACACATTTTAGTCAGGTTTATTAAGTTATAATTTACATAGAGTAAAACTTACTCTTCTTAGTGTTTAGTTGCCTTTGAACATTTGCTTTTAAATGTTTATTTATAAATTTAAAAATTTTATTTTAATTAGTTTTTACATTATAGTAGTTTTTGTTATATATTGTTATTACATATTATAGTAATTTTTATTATAGTAACTTTTAGTATTTTTCTATTTATAAGCTATGCATCTGCACATGTACATGCATTTTAGAAAAATTCAAAATGCCAATAAACAGAAAAATCTGTCATCTTAATACACATTAGATAATCACAATGTTTTCTAAATTTTTCTAGCAAGCATATTTTTTAATTTTTTAAATATATTTTTATTGTTGATAGTATTATAGATATCTGCCATTTTCTCCTCCTTTACCCCCCTTCTCCCAGCCCCTACCCACCCCTCACAGGTCTTCACCACCTTATTTATCAGACATATTTTAAATCATTTTTATAAAACTATCATTACACCCTAACCGATTTGGCTCAGTGGATAGAGCATTGGCCTGCGAACTGAAGGGTCCCAGGTTCGATTCTGGTCAAGGGCATTACCTTGGTTGTGGGCACATCCCCAGGGGGGGCGTGCAAGAGGCAGCTGATCGATGTTTCTCTCTCATCGATGTTTCTAACTCTCTATCCCTCTCCCTTCCTCTCTGTAAAAAATCAATAAAATATTTTTTAAAAAATAAATAAATAACGAAAACTATCATTACAACTAGTTTTCAGCCTTTTTTCAACTTAATATATTATGAATAACTTTTCATGGCAGCAAGTATTCAGAAGGTTCCAAACCCAAATGTCTTCAGGAACAAGCAAGAGATGTCAGCAAGTTAAGTGGGTGGAACAAGCAAGGTAACTGCCCTTGGTCTAAAAGGGCAGTTACTACTTAGCATGTCTTATCAGAATGCAATTTTTCCGAGGATGTTGAAAATTAGCATTTGTGGGAAATCTCCCCAGTGTGTAAATGTTGGCAATTAATTCAAAGTTTTAAAAATACTCTGCAAGCATAATAATATGGATCTGTGGGCTAGTTTTGCCCTGTGGGCTGCCAGTTTGCAACCTCTGATTAAGAATATAATTTGTAATGGCTGTCAAATGTCATGAGCATTGAATGCTTTTGATTTAGCCAAGTTGCCCTCCTATTTGCATGGAACCCAACAATTTTTATAATATGCCACATTCTCCAACTTCTCACCAACAACCTCTCACCACCACTCTCATCCACTCTCTTAGCTGCTACAGGGATTTGGTTTTTGGGGGGGGGGGGGGGGGGGGGGAGGAGAGTGACTGGAAAAGGATTGGGACTTAATGTCAAGTGGAGGAGTTCTCTTTGCCAGCAGGTGTCTTGACATCCTGTGGCATTCATACCAGGAGGTTAAGATTTCAGCCAAATAGCACACTCATCTGAGCAGATGATAGGCCCTGAAAGTTATCCAGCTCAGATAAGCAACAGAATTTTGAACATTTTCTATTCATACACAGATATTGATTCTATATGCATTGAGAGAACAATATTGTGCTTTCTTAAGTGTGTTTTTGAAAGAGAAAGAACTGGCAGGTATTTGGTTTCCACTTAAAAAAAAGGCAAACGTGAATGACTTTTATGTTTGCATGGTCATATACAAACCAGAAAGTCTTGTTAGCATACCAAAACTACCCTAATCTATATATATAAAAACCCAGCAACCATTACAGCGGAACGACCAGAACGACTGGTGGCTATGATATGCACTGTGGCTGACAACCAGCCTGATCCAGGCCAGATCACCCCAACACCCCAATCAGGGTGGGGCCAGCCAGCCAACTGCCTTGTTGGCAGAAATTTGGGGTCCAGGAACCTTGGTGGTGCTCGGTCTTGGGCAGCTGCAAGGGCAAAGCTCTCCTTTGGCAGAAGTGGACCCAGGATGAGGGAGCCAGAGTTGGGGATGGGGTGGGGAGGCTTTCCCGGTGGGTGGCCACAGCAGTCTCTGTGGGCTGTGCACAGCACCCAGGCATCTGGCCCCAGTTGGAGCTGTGGTAGGAATAGGGGCTGCGGGGCACAGGGGGCAGTGGCACACAGGAGCCAGGAGGCGTGAGGCCCGACCTGGGCTCTTACCCTGCCCACTGGGCCCAGCAGCACCAGCAGATGAGCCATGGTGTTCAGCAAGGTGCTGGGCGGCTCACCAGAGGGGAAGCGAGCCAGGAGGCAAGGTCCGGCGCCAGCCAGAGCCCCGAGCACTGTGGGCGGGGTCAGAGATGGAAACCCTGGCAGAGTGGGCAGGGCTGCAGCCCAAAGCCTTTTCAGCCTTGGCCTTGGAATTCTGCGGGCAACACATGTACTGGCTACCAGCGCGTCAGAGGTCAGCCCTGCTTCAAGAGAGAGGACATGGTGGAAAGTGGCAAGGCTACAGGAGGGATAGGAAATGTTGTGGCCATCTCCAGGAAACACAGCTGCCACGGTCTTCAGTAACTATGAACAGATAATCTTTGGTCTCCATTCTACAGAAGAGGAAGCTGAGACTCAAAGAAGGGAGCCTTCCGCAACACCTCACCCACTTCTCATACCTGACCCTGTACAGCATTGTTTTCATTGAAAATAGAGGATCCAAAATGTTTTAAGATCTTTGCTATTTTAGGCAGTAAAGAATTTAGCGCAGGGAATTGGTGCTTGGGAAATCATCAGAAAGCTGGAGGAGCAGGTATTAGGCTGGGCCCCCACACAACTGAATTCTAGGACACTCTGGCACAGCTGTGACCCGGGGATCAGGAAACTGCTGCCCTCGCAAGTGCCCTCCAGCTCCCACAAAACAGGTCACTGGGCACTGCCTCTGCCACAACTGCCTGTGCACAGCCTGGATTCCACTGCAGAAAACCTCCACATCTCTGCAAACATGATCACCAGCAGCAAACATCCCAAACTGCAGGACGATGCCTCTTCCTCACTTTTGCCTTCAAAATATTGTGCAAGCACATCCAATCGGCAGAAACAAATTCATATCCAGAAACCTAGCTGCAAAGGAGTTTGGGCAATTTCAGACTTTTGTCTAGGAGTGAGATCTTGCCAATGTACCTCATGTGCCTGGTATTGATAAAAATGGGGCCCGGCTGGTGAGGCTCAGTGGTTGAGCATGGATCTATGAACCAGGAGGTTACGATATGATACCCAGTCAGGTTTCAGGCTTGATCCTCAGTAGGGGCGTGTAAGAGGCAGCTGATCAATGATTCTCATCATTGATGTTTCTATCTATCTCTCCTTCTCCCTTCCTCTGAAATCAATAAATATTTTTTTAAATGGGGTCATGCTGTATATATGTGTTATAATGAGTTTTTCACTTCATAGATCACTAATGTCTTTCCTGTTAAAACCATACTTATAGAATATTATTTATCATTCATTTTAATTGATCTCAGAAAGAAGAAGAGAGAGAGAGAGAAACATTGTTCCGTTGTTTCCTGCACTCACTGGACTGGGTATTGAATCTGCAACCTGGGCATGTGCCCTGACTGGCAATCAATCCACCACTTTCTGGTGTGTGGGACCATGCCATGCCGGTAATCTGACCCCAAATTCTAGCCTCCAGAACTGTGAGAAAAATACATTTCTGTTCTTTAGGCCACACAAATTTATGATATTTCGTTATGGCTGTCTGAGCTGACTAATCCTATATAATAAAAGCCCAGTGACTGAATAGCAGAATGACCGAATGACCAGAACAACTGCAGCCCCTCACCCTGGCCGGCCCCGCCCCTGATCAGTCCCCATCAGAGTGGGCCGACTGGACCCCACCAGTGCACGAATTCATGCACCAGGCCTCTAGTATATTTATAAACACAGAAATAGTCATAGATACCTGTTAGACTGGGTTCTTTTTGCCATGTCACAAGATGATGAAAATTCCTTTTCTTCTTTGCTGGCTTTCATGTTATTTGGCTCTAGAGATTTTTATAAACACAATTAACTGAAATGCTTCAGCATGGTTTTCCTTTTTTTCTCTTTGATTCTTTTTTTTTCTGGTTTGTGGAATTGGGTGATTCTTCTGCAAATATATGATCACTAGTTCCTTACAACAAATTAGTGCAAGTACATTTCTTCATTTGATATTTTCTCTTTCAACTCTGCTTTTTAGCCAGCTTTTGAAAATAACTTAGCTGCTTAGCAGTGAAGACATATCTAAAGCTTGCCAGGTAACTATATAGTTTAACAAGGTCAAATTCCAATTTAGCAAATTTGCATTCTGTCAAAACAAATTTTCTCTGTGGTTTCAAGAAGAAATTCCTTTAACTCTTCAAGGGATGGCTGCCCTGGGCCCCCTTTTGTGGTGGCTTATTATCAGAAATGGGGCAATTGTGCCTGAATTGGTTTTAAAATCTTTGAAAAAAATAGCTTGTGATTATTGGCCTAATAAAATATTAGCCTGAAGTATAAATGGGCTTAAATGTTGTAACTTTGAACTCTATTTGAAAAAGGAGATTTGCTTTTCTAATGTATCTGTATTAACTATATCTTTGGTAGGTTTACTGCTGTGGAACAGAGTCCAGGGGTTCTGGCTGATTCATTCTATTCCCCAGTTTCCTCCAATCCCTGAAGAAGGCTATGATTATCCACCCACAGGGAGACGAAATGGACAAACTGGCATCTGTGTAACTTTCAAGTATAACCAGTATGAAGCCATAGGTAACATTAGTGTGTGCAAAAAGAAATGGCAATGTTGAAGAAGGGGCAATATTAATGTACTAGAGGCCTGGTGCATGAAATTCATGCATGGGTAGGGTCCCTAGGCCTGGCCGACAATCAAGGCCAATCAGGGCCTTCCAGATGCCGGCCGGGACCTTCCTTCATTCTGCGCTGCCCCCTGGTGGTCACCGCACATCATAGTGAGTGATAGAACTCCTGAGGGGACACTTTGCACATAGCCTGAGGGGACACTTTGCACATAGCCTTTTATATATATAGATTTGGGCTATATGAATAAATTGGTCACTTCATTTGTTTCTCTATTCATAGATCTTCTGAAACCTACATTCTAATATTGGCTTTGCCATGGTGAGACCTGGGGAGGGCTCATTTACTAGAGCTTGGTTTCTTGGGTCCTTCCATGAATTCTATGAACTTGATCAGAGATAGTAGTTGCAAATGTCTATAGTGGCCAAACAGGTAACAGAAATGGGTGAAAGAGGTGAATGTTGCATGGGCAGTGGGTATAGTGACAAACTGGGGTGCTGACTCTCCCCAGTTTATAGCCTCTGATGCCAGATTGCCTGGGTTTACATAGCAACTCCATCAGTTACAAGCTTTATAACTATGGGCATGTGACATGAATTGTCCATTAATTCACCTATAAAATGAGGATCATGATAAATGAACTTACCTAATAATAAGATTGCTATGAAGACTAATTAGTAAATCCATGTAAAATTTATAAAACAATGTCTACAAAGTAGGAAATGCTGAATAGATGTCAATTATCTTAACTCAAAAGTTATTTGAAAGCTATTGGCTTAAAGAAGGGAATACTTTTGTTCTGTTTTTTAATTCACAAAAGATCTATAATATAACAAGACTTCCATTTGTATCTTAATTCTCAGATTTTCTTGATCATTTTTTTTTTCAGACTCTCAGCTCTTGATCTGCAACCCAAACATTTATAGCTGTTCCATCCCGGCTACGTTTCAGCAGGAGCTTGTTCACATGCCCCAGCTGTGTGCCAGGTCCAGCTCTTCAGAGACCCCTGCCCGGCACCTGGCCACACTTAAGTCAGCCCAGGGACAAAACTTCCTCCATTTTGCAAAGTCTGATTCTTTTATTGACGGTATGAAAGACCATCATCAAACAATATGCTATATAACTCTGCTGTTGAACTCATTTGGGATTGTGTAAAGGAAATATTATGATTATTCAGGGGAAAAGAAGTACAAAAGGGGGTAAAAGAACATTTTCAGACACAAGTATCATCTTAGTAATAATGATAATAACTTTTATTTGCATATACTTTAGCATTTACAAAATGTTCTTCCATCCACTATCTCAATTATGTTGTTATTATTGTATCTGTGACATCCACATATCAGAGATGAATGATGATTTTCATTCCTGAGGATATTTTCAGATACTTATCTAATCTAATAAAAGAGAAAATGCAAATTGACCACACCTCCGCTACACCCACCAGCCACGCCCACCAGCCAATCAAGACCAAATATGCAAATTAACCCAACTAAGATGGCGGTGGCCACAGAGCTGGAGTGAGCAGGCCTGAGGGGACACTTTGCACATAGCCTTTTATATATATAGATTTGGGCTATATGAATAAATTGGTCACTTCATTTGTTTCTCTATTCATAGATCTTCTGAAACCTACATTCTAATATTGGCTTTGCCATGGTGAGACCTGGGGAGGGCTCATTTACTAGAGCTTGGTTTCTTGGGTCCTTCCATGAATTCTATGAACTTGATCAGAGATAGTAGTTGCAAATGTCTATAGTGGCCAAACAGGTAACAGAAATGGGTGAAAGAGGTGAATGTTGCATGGGCAGTGGGTATAGTGACAAACTGGGGTGCTGACTCTCCCCAGTTTCTCTCAAAGTAGAGAGAGAGAGAGAGAGAGAGAGACTGCTTTTTAAATATGGTTTCAAGATTTAAAAAAAAAAAAGTGCAGATCTCATGTTGCCTGTAGCCTGCCAATCTGACCCATCTGAGTCCCCAGATGATCTTCCTTTAAGGCCTCAAGCTCAAATGGTCCAATTAGTTGGCTTTGGAAAACTATAATAGACAAGGAGTAGGAGAAGGAACACCATTTTACCAATCACTTTTTACTGAGGTGGCTGCTACTAGTAAATAGCGGCAAAGAGTGACTTGCCTCTAGATAAAAGGCTTAGAAATATTTTCATCCAGTTTTCATCTTATGACAAGGATTTCTGAGCCAAATCAAACCCCAGTCTAATTAGTGGAGCTCATGTAATCATTATACAGCCAAATAACATAAAGCTTAGGTGTGCACATCATGAGTTGATCATTCCTGAAGCTGGAGATTGGAACATGGGCTCTCTCTCTCTCTCTCTCTCTCTCTCAGCCAATCAAGACCAAATATGCAAATTAACCCAACTAAGATGGCGGTGGCCACAGAGCTGGAGTGAGCAGGAAGCTTAGGTTGCCCCCAGCAATGGAGGAAGCCAAGCTTCCCGCCTGCCCTGCTGGCCCTGACCTCCGCTCAAGGCTACAAAGTTTCAATTATAGAAGATAAATAAATCCCAGATACCTGCTTCCAGCCTGGGACTGTGGTCAGCCTGAAAATGGCCCTCCGCCCCTCACCCAAGCTGGCCAGGCACCCCAGTAGGGCCCCCCACCCTGAAGGGGCTGTGGCCAGCCTGAAAAGAGCCCTCAGCCCCTCACCCAGACTGGCCAAACCCCCATGGGGCGAGGGTCCCTGCTGGGGGGCTTGGCCAGCCTGCAAACAGCCATCAGCCCCTCACCCAGGCTGGCCAGGCACCCCAGTGGGGACCCCCACCTTGAAGGGGGTGTGGCCAGCCTGAAAACGGCCTCTAGTCCTATATAATAAAAGGTTAATATGCAAATCGAATGAACAGCGGAATGACTGGTCGCATGATGCACACTGACCACCAGAGGGCAGACACTTAATGCAGGAGCTTCCCCCTGGTGGTCAGTGTGCTCCCACAGGGGGAGCACAGCTGTGGTGGTGGGAGCCTCTTCCACCTCCGCCACAGTGCTAAGGATGCCCGACTGCTGGCTTAGGCCTGCTCCCTGTGGGAAGCGGGCCTAAGCCATCAGTCGGACATCCCCCAAGGGGTCCTGGACTGCCAGAGGGCGCAGGCCGGGCTGAGGGACCCCCTGAGTGCACGAATTTCATGCATCAGGCCTGCAGTCTAAGTATAAATACTAACCTAACTATCTTTCTCCTTATAAACTCTAGACATTTTTGCAGCCTGGATGGCTCAACAGTTGAAGACACACTTGCTTACCGAAACCTGGCAGCGAAAGAGACAAGAGCTTCCTTCAAACTGCTCCCTTCCTTACCATGTCTACAATGTCAAAGCAATTAAGATATCTGGACAATCTTATTTCAGTTCTTATCAGGATCATGCTAAGTGGTGTATTTCCCAAAAGGGCACCAAAAATCGCTGGACATGTATTGGAGACCTAAATCGCAGCCCATATCAAGCCTTCAGAAGTGGAGGATTCATTTGTACCCAGAATCAGCATATTTACCAAGCATTTCAAGGTTTAGTTTTGTATTATGAGAACTGTAACTAAACTTGATGAATGGACATATGTACTATTAATTTCAACATTGACAATGGATCTTCTCCCATTAGATTCCTTCTGTATATATTAAAGCCTGTGAATGTACTTAAAAATCCACATATTGTCAAGCAAACACTTTTCTCCACATATTGTCAAGCAAAATACTTTATCTTCTAACTAGAGGCCCTGTGCATGAAATTCTTGCACTGGGGGTGGGGGGATCACTCAGCCCGGCCTGTGCCCTTTCGCAGTCCAGGACATCTCTCTTGCAGTCTGGGACCCCTCGCTCCTTGCTGCCCACCTGCTCGCTGCTCCTAACTTCTTGGCTCACTGCTCCTTAGCACTGAAACAGAGGTGCGAGAGGCTCCCACCACTGCTGCTGCGCTCACCAGCCATGAGCCCGGCTTCTGGCTGAGCAGCGCTCCTCCTGTAGGAGCGCACTGACCACCAGGGGGCAGCTCCTGCATTGAGCGTCTGCTTCCTGGTGGTCGGTGTGCATCATAGCGACGGGTCATTCTGGTCTTTCCACCGTAACTGCCACTTAGGCTTTTATTATATAGATTGATGGCAATTTATCTACTTTGCATTTATATTCTCTATACATAAACTATCATATATAACTAAAATGAGAATAAAAGAAAAAGATATTTGCTCCAGATTAGTCAACTCTCAATTGTTCATGGAGCGATTGGCAATCTTACAGATTAAATTTCATCTTCTTCACAGACACTTCTTTGACTCTCCTGCCCACCTTTTTTTCTGAAGTGGGGAGGAGGGAAACCTCTTTCTCTGTGTACTTCATACTATTTACTCCTATTCCTCTTAATTTTCTTTCTCACTGGTTTATGGTTAAACTATATCATTCTTGCAGCTGCTACTTACTAACTATATGATCTTGGATCATACACTTGAACTCTCTGAGCCTTGGTTTTCTTATCTATGAAATGGATATAAGAAGCCTAACACAGAGTTGACAATACTGTGGAATTTTAATCTGAATTTCCACACCCAGCAAGAAAAGACAAAAGAAAGTTTAGAATGAGTAGTATGTTTAAAAATTTTTTAAAATCAGATTAGGAGAAAGAAATAAAACAGCACCTAAGTCTAGCCCAGAGGTCCTCAAACTTTTTAAACAGGGGGCCAGTTCACTGTCCCTCAGACATTCCACACATGTGCACTGCGGGCCCGGGATGAGTCGGCTGCTAAGCAGGACAGGCAGCGGAGGCAAAAACCCCCGGCGGGCCGGATAAATGTTTTCAGCGGGCGCATGTGGCCCGCAGGCTGTAGTTTGAGGACCCCTGGCTCTAGCCCAAGGGTGGGCACACTTTTTGACTCGAGGGCCACAATGGGTTCTTAAACTGGACCGGAGGGCCGGAACAAAAGCATGGATGGAGTGTTTGTGTGAACTAATATAAATTCAAAGTAAACATCATTACATAAAAGAGTACGGTCTTTTTTTTTTTTAGTTTTATTCATTTCAAACGGGCCGGATCTGGCCTCGGGCCGTAGTTTGCCCACGGCTGCCTAGCCCATCAACTTAGGGGAAAAGAAGTGTAACAAAGAAACAGAATAAAATCTAATACTTTCAACTCCAGGATGCTTCATTTTCTTTAATTCTTATTAATAAAAATAGCTATTATATAAATCAATAATAATAAATTTATATTAAGTACTAATTGCTTCATAGATTTTGAGATATGGTTCCTAACTTTAAGAAGTTTACAACCTAGCAAAAGTAATCACATCAGGAAGGATTGCAGAATAACTTGTTTCTTTTTTATTTGCACTTTATTCTTATTTTAAAATATTATTGTTATTAAGACTTACTAATTATAAATACTAACTTCACTAACTTTCTCCATATAAACTCTAGACATCTTTGCAGCGTGGATGGCTAAACAGTTGAAGACACACTTGGTTACCGAAACCTGGCAGCGAAAGAGACAAGAGCTTCCTTCAAACTGCTCCCTTCCTTACCATGTCTACAATGTCAAAGCAATTATGATATCGGGACAATATTATCATTATTATTATTATTATTATCATTATTTAGTAGTGTCCTTGCCTGTGCCTTAGCATTGATAGCTGGTAGCCTTGAACACCAGAAAAACAGTCCTGGTTCTGCGGTCCAAGTTTCTTATGCTTGTTACCATTTCCATTGCCAAGAACACTGTTCTGATCAGACGTACCTATCCTTTTCCAACTTGATGGCTTCCACCAAAATTGACATTCTAGTATTCTGAAGGAATTGACCTAACAGCTTCCAAAGTGTCTCTTTTGTCCTCATGAACTAAGCCACTTTTTCTGTAAAATGTGGCTTTGACCTTGATGCTGAAGACTTAACTTATCCCCATCCACACAGAGAGGGTTATTACTTCCCTCCCTACTAGTGAGAAAAATGAACCTCATTAACATTTCCAGTGTCCCTTGAGAGGTATAGAGGTTCAGTATTATCATGTGGCATTTGCTATTTTTTTAAAAACTGCATGTCTCTCACTTAGACAGCACTTTTCTTTTTTATACCTACACTAGAGGCCCAATGCACAAAATTTGTGCAAGAGTAGGCTTTCCTTCCCCTGGCTGCCAGCACCGGCTTTCCTCTGGCACCCAGGACCCAGGCTTCCCTCGCAGCCCTGGCTTCGGAAGGTCATCTGATCTAATTAGCATATTACGCTTTTATTATCATAGATAGTCCCAGTAGTTCAAGGATACCAAATACTTGGGAGGAAAAAAAATATATATCTTGGTCTTGGAAGTTCCCTGTGGTGGAGCTTAGAGGCAGTCACAATAAATGAAAGTGAGCTAGCATTGCTGTCTTTCTCAACATATGCCCAAGAATGCCACCCAATTATGATGATTCCTGAGATATGTCTTTAGGAGAATGACATTATTGGAAGGCAACTGAAATATATGAGAATATAGAGGATGTTTTTTGTTGATTCTCTTTGAGTGAAATGGGAGGATTGGGAGAGATCAATTAATGAAATTTAAGTTCTAAACTATGGTTTAAAATAAATACTAGAATGAAAGACTCATATCTAAGATGGGAGTATATCTTACAAAGAAGTATAGGATGTGTTTGGCTGTAAACAACTTTGTGATAGTGGAGAAAAAATAAAAATAAAAAACCACAACCTATGACACTAAATAGAGAAGAGGATGACAGTTCTAATATGAAAATCCCAAATCATTTTTGCTGTGCCCCATACCTGTCTTAGAAAAACTATTTTCCACAATCTGTTGGTATCAAGAGACCCTTTCCTCTCCAGCTCCAAATAACTGGACTAAGAGTTGGCCTGTGACACCAAAGAAATTAAGCCATAGGCCAAGCCAAGGCAGTCAGATTTGAGAGCGAGTTTAAAGCAGGGGTGCCAACACTGAGTTTTGAGGCTAGGGAACTGCATCTGGAGGGTCATGTCCATTGAAGATAACATCACCATTTTCTGCCTCGTGCACCGTAAAGCAGAGGATGCCGGGCTGCAAAGGTTGGAGAATGGTGCAAACGTACCACAAGATCAAAGGAGCACAGAGAGAGTGATATCAGTTCCCAACTTAGTTCCTTGTACACCCCAGTTATTCTCCCTCGTCACATATTCTATGACATACCCCTATATCCTTTCATCAAATGCCTCATTTTTAGTTTAAGTTAACTTGAGTAGGTTCCTGTTTCTTGCAAGCAAATAATTCTTCTCTAAATCACGTAGACACAAGAATGACAATGTAGTACCAAATCATCTCAATTGGAATAATAATTGAGAAATGGGTCCTAGACAATTCTCACAATTTCACAATCTCTGGTGTTATACATACCAACACAGAATATCGATTATTCTGTGTTAGTATATAAAATGGGAAGTAAACTTGAAATTGTAGAATGGAATAATAAATATGCTTCATATGAAGCATTTTGTGGGATAGAATAAGAAAGAATAATGAGCCCTAGCTGGTTTGGCTTAGTGGATAGAGCGTCCCAGGTTTGATTCTGGTCAAGGGCACATGCCCAGGTTGCGGGCTCGATCCCCAGTAGAGGGCATGCAGGAGGCAGCTGATCAATGATTCTCTCTCATCATTGATGTTTCTATCTCTCTCTCCTTCTCCCATCCTCTCTAAAATTAATAAAAAATATATTTTTAAAAAAGAAAGAATAATGATAGAGATTCAAATATTCAGACACTTACTAAGGGTTTTATTCAACCAAAATAATTATTTATTAACTTTTGACTTAACATACTGACAACTTCATTTCCCAAAGAGTAGATGAAATGACCAGACCTTGAGATTTGCAAATGAGGTGAAATGAAAGTAATAGTGCCCCTGAAGAAAAAAGATCCCTGGATGATTATTAGGGAAAGAAAAGTTGAATGTAGTCCAAGTTTTAAAAGTCTGAGATTGAGATACAAATGAAAATATGATTCCATGGCAGAAGACTCTTAAAAGGAATGCAGTTCAAGAGGTTAAGAAGTTATCAAAAATAAAATTTTAACTATATGATTTCTCTATGAGAAAGAAAAAGAGAAAAAGGTCTACAGAAAGCATTGTAACTATATAGCCTATTTTCTCACAAGCTCATCTATAACTTAGGTGCATACAAAGCATGGGAGGAAAAGGCCAATGAACAGAGAAGAGTTAAAGAATGGCATCAACCTATATAAAGAATGATGTGAAACCACGAAGTTATTTGTTACAAAAAATGTGGTTAACAAAAAATGTTTATACTTATTTTTGGATCAAAATTACATTAGAATTAATAGTAGTTTGTAAATGCCTTAAAAAGTCTCTTTTACTTTTGTCTTTTCGGTAAAGATGAATGGTATTCAAACTGAAAAGGTATGGGAAAAAAATGGTCTGAGACAACAAAATCAAGGCCACTGTAATGTAATTTTAAAGATCACTCAGCTCCCTCCAGTGAGTTTATGTTTCCAGGTCCAATCTTTTATAGTGAAAACTACTGAAAAACCAGAAATCTTTGAGAAAACATGGAAGACAGACAAATATCATTTTAATTTTCAAAACTAGAAGATCTGTTCTCCAGTGTAATCCCCAGCATGATTTTTCGGTGGATCTTTAAAAGGCCAGATTGCAAACCCTTGGAAAATGATCAACTAGACAATCTGAAG